ATGAAGAAGGGAGTGGAGTACGAACTCATTTTCAAGGATGAAGCTGCAAAGAAGGCGTTCGAAGTTCTCAAGAAGGCGTTGGTGACGGCTCCAATTTTGGCGAAACCGGATTGGGGTAAACCTTTCATTCTCTACACAGATGCATCAAATATTGCTGTAGGATGCACCTTGAGTCAATTAGATGATGAAAAGCATGATCATCCAATTGCCTATGCTAGTAGACAAATGGTTCAAGCGGAGAAGAATTACTCAGTGACAGAGAGAGAGGCCTTAGCTGTAATCTTCTCACTTAAGAAGTTTCGACATTATTTGTTGGGTGGGAGATTCACTATAGTGACTGATCATAAGGCTTTGAAATACATTTTCAACAAGCCTAATGCTGAAGGGAGGATAGCTAGATGGAAGCTACTACTAGCAGAGTTTGATTATACCATTGAGGATAGACCTGGAAAGAAGCATGCTAATGCGGATTTGATGTCGAGAGCATATGATGATGGAGGAGATCAGTCAGTAGATGACACCTTTCCGGATGAGGACTTGCTAGTCATGGACACGGTGACAACAGTACCGGAGGAGTACAAGGAAATTTGGGATTTCATCTCTAGAGGAGAGTTTCCTCAAGGAATGCATCAAAGGGAGAAAAATGCATTAGTGAAGAGATGTCAACCTTATATGATCATGGAGAAGGTACTTTTTCATCAAGGAGCTGACGGACTTCTACGAAGGGCGGTTGGGAGAGGAGAGGCACTACAACTCATGAAGGAGTTTCATGATGGTGCAGTATGTGGAGGACATTTTGCGGGGAAGGTAACTGCCTTCAAAATTCTTGATGCTGGTTATCATTGGAAGGGTATTTTTAAGGATTGTGTGGAATATTGCAAAAGTTGTGATGTGTGTCAAGCTTTTGCTAAAAAGTCCATGAAAACCCCTCCTATGATTTCTGTACCAGTGTTAGGTCCTTTTGAAAAGTGGGGAATAGATTTTGTAGGACCTTTGAATCTTACTCCTCGAGGGAATAAGTTCATTGTGATAGCTACAGATTATCTTACGAAGTGGGTAGAGGCAAGACCACTTAAATCTACTAATGAGAAGGAGGTTGGTAGATTTTTATATGAGAGAATCATTACTCGATTTGGTTGTCCATTGGAGTTAGTATCAGATAGAGGAGGAGAATTTGTGGGAAGTATGATTCAAGCCATGTTGGAGCACTTTTCCATCAAGGCTCGAGTAACCACTTCCTACAAACCTAACGCTAACGGGTTGGCGGAGCGGACCAACTACACTTTGTGTATGATGTTGGCCAAGGATGCAGACATGGACGGGAGTAAACACAATTGGGACAAGAGGCTCCATGCTATCTTATGGGAGTATCGCACAACATGGAAGACATCTACCGGATACTCACCTTTTCGGATGGTGTATGGAGTTGAGTCAAAACTTCCCATACAGTTTGACTTGACAACATTCACAACAATCCAGCAAAGGTTGAAGAAATCAAATGGAGCAGAAGCCATCAAGTCTCGCCAACAACAATTGATGGAGTTGGAGGAAGCTCGAGCATTAGCCATGGTACGAGTGGAGCGGGCTCAACAGTTGCAGAAGAAGTATCACGACAAACGAAGTGGAAACCAGAACTTGAAGCCGTTCAAGGAAGGTGATTGGGTGATGCTCTTTGATGCAATTAGATACAAGAGAGCTAGGAAAAAGTTTCTTCCTAAGTATTTTGGACCTTTCATAGTTGAGAAGGTGTGGGGAAATTTCACTTATGACATCAAGGAGTTAGGAGGACGTCACTTCGATCGAGTCAACCACGACAAGTTGAAGTTATTCCATCGAAGATCAGATTCTTTCACTCCGAGGGCGTAGTGAAATCTTGGTCCGGGGGTAAATGTAAGACCGGGTGTTGCACATATGTACTAAGTCTTAGAAGTGGTCAAGGGAATAAGGATGATTAGCCAAGGCATAGCTAAGACTAGCTAGTTATGACTAAACTAGTTAGTTATAACTAAGTTTATCTAGTCATGACTAAGTTTAGCTACAATGTCTATAGTTGGCGGAGTAATTAGCGGAGTTCTAGAAGAATGGAGTGAGCACTTCTATTTTGTCTTTTACAAGGAGTGAGCACTTCTATTTTGTCTTATACAAAAGTTCTAGATTCCAAGGGATTAGATATTTGACTAGAAGCTTGGATTTGATTGGTTTAACTAAATGTATGAAAGATGATTGGCTAGACTAAGTCTAATGTTGACTTAGTGGCTAGGAAGCTTGTAGAAGTTTAAAAGCTTCCAATGGCATGTCGCCACCTCAACCTTGGATTCCGGAAGCTTCTAGAAGGTTTAGGTAGGCCAATGGCATGTTGCCACGTAGAGAAGGTTAGTCAAACTTACCTAGGTAAAAGTAAGTTAGGAGAAATTACCACATGTTACTATGGTAACTTCTCAAGTAGTATAAATAGAGAGGTAGAGTAGCACCTCTCAAGCAAGTTTGGAGAGTCATGTGTGAGGACTTGTTTCAATAATGAAGGAGTGAAGTTTTCGAGTATCTTGGAGTATCGACGTGTGTTTGCGTTTATGTGAAGAGGGTGATGTGAGGAGAGTTTGTGTGTGTGAGTTGGAGTGATACATGAGAGTTTGTGAGAGAAGGTGTTTGTGACATGAGTGAGAGTATGAATCTTAGTCTTCTAGAACCATGATGCGCTACCACAAAGCCATCAGAGGTAAACCTGAGTGAGAGTCAGCCCGGAGGTTGCAGAGCTGCCGGTTGGTGTATGTTGCAGCATGATCACGTGTTGGTTTCTTTGCAGTCCGCTTGTTCTCAGTAACAAGTGTGTGGATAGCAACACTAGCTTTCTCATGGGCTGCAACAAGTGTAGCAGCCTGATATAATGCGGTTGGCTGAGAGCTGTTAGGCTAAGTGCTAGAGCCAACTGCCATATCAGGGATGTGAATACCGGCTGACTGAAGTAGTCGTGGTGTTTTGTTGATTATGGTCGTCCTGCATCACTAGATCACGGAGTTCTCAGTTTGAAACAGGTCTTGTGGGAGACGGCAACCAACACACAGCTCGAGAGTTAACGCAATAGATGTTCTCACCGCTGGCTAATCTACGAGAACAGCCTCTAGTGGCACATCCTTTCTCTTCTTCTTGCTGGCGGCCAAGGCTTTGGCTTTGACAGTATTTGGGATAGTCACAGATTGTCTGCTAAAGATGCCCAAGTATGTGCCTAGGGCTGTGTATTGAAATGGATGGTCTGGGCAGTTGATATCCTTACCACCACCAATCAAAATGCAAGCTATCACGACAAGAGACAGACAGATAGCTTGGACGGACATCCTTCTGCCCTTGCAACACATATGGAACATCAAGAGCGTGCACCAAAGCCAGTAATCGAATTAAGGTCCGAACATCGTTGCAGAAGGGTTGGCTGCTGCATGTATATTCGGGTCACAGAGTGCAAACTTTACCGACTTTGAGATGTGACGCGGGGTTTTTGAAACTTCATCGCCAAGCGCTGTTGTCGACTATTGAACACACCAAATTTTTTACAGCCACTGCCTTTGTGTAGTGGAATGCACTAGCATGCAAACTCCCTTCAAAGTAAACGGCTGGATGTGGCGGCATCATGCGGCTGCACTTAACTTTGCTACTGCCACAGTGGCGGCAGCCTTTGACTGCATTATTGTTCAAAAGCCAAATTGTGGCGGCCGAAGGCTGCCACAATTAGCTAAAAATCACCAAGTTTTGGACTGACTTAATTAAAAATCACCACATTGGCGGTTAACCGTCACTAAATGAAACATTGCTTTGTAACATATACAATTCCTTGCATGAGGTTCTAAAAAGAAATATAACAAATTTTTTTATTCAAAGTTTATATCCAACTAATGACAGCCATCATTTGTAAACACATATACAATTATAAATTACCTCTTGTATCTATTTATCATCCAACTAATGCATCGAACATCATTGCATTGCAAGATTGTGCAATCTTTGCATTGCATATCTTGATGCACATGTACTAGCAGTTTCATATCAATGGTTTTTGATCTTACACATATCGAGAAAGGAAGCACCACAATTGAACTATATGGAGAAGCTCCTAGATGCATTGGAGTCAACCTATTCAATCTCTCCACCGTTGAACAATTTTGAAAAATAATAATCTAAAAACTATGATGAATGAGATTTTAAGGAAATGGTTGTTCTCTCATTCTATGTCAAAGTCAAGTAATTTGGTAAATGAGAATCATGACAATTCCAATTAGCAATAAAAAATTACATGATAATCATACGTTGCTTCATAGAGAGTTGGCTGGAGTATTCATTTTTGCAAAGTAGATTCGGATATAACATCAAAGTATTGATGCTATATCCAAACCTATGGTATCAAATTTGGCAGAAGATGCTCGAAGGATCATTTTCTTTACTTTATCATTGAATGCTTACTCCCCGTTATATACAATCAAAATTGTGATGACATTCAACTTTGGAAAAAAAAAAGGTATCTTTGAGTTCTAGCGCCGAGTTCTAAGTTTCAATCCCAACTCTCAAATAATATGCATGTTTCAACCTCATCTGACCTTCACTTATTCACCTGATGAAATCTGGCAAATGGCGGAGTTGTTGTCTGCTCTCTTGACCATTTTATCGGATCTGTCTACATTTTCAAACTGGATGTGTCGAAGTTCATATGTTATTTTTTTTGGAGAAACAATCATAATATGCCCTGTTTAAAAAAAACATAAGCACATGAAAATGGACCAGTCGACCATTAGCACGGTACGAGTCAACGCAGACTTTTTACTCCTAAAAGGAGGAAATTTTCACCGCAGGTCCTGAAAACATCTCCCACTGATACTTTCAATGCAGATCCTGCCTCGGATGCGGTTGTCGTTTCAGGGTGGGAACACGTGGCGCGTGTCCGTTTCGAGGAACGAAGTGTGGGCATTAGAGCGTTTATGAAGGCCCCGCCCGAAGGCGATTCTCAGAAGCCAAATCCAGAGCCGAGGGTTCCAGTTTCGGCGGACCGTGCCGGAATCAAACCGATCGGGATCCAAATCGGGCAGTTGGCAATTTGGAAGCAGGCAAAATGAGAGCCAGAAGAATGGAATGCTACTCTCAGCTGCCGTTCGGCCCTTGGCTTGTTGGTGGGCAGACGCCGATCATGCTCGCTGGCCTGGTCTTAACTCCACTGTGCTCTACTGTTCTTGTATGGAGCATCGTGGAGGTGGCCTGAACGTGTGAAACCCTAATAAAGGGCAGCTCGGGGAGCAAAAGTGCTCGATTGAAATGACACCTTCGGAACTCGGATGATCGAGCAAATGCTCGACTGTGAGCCGTAGGCAGGCTAGCACGCACACTCTCAGGCAGACGGACGGACGGAACGACAGGTTGTAGAGCGCAGCACGGGCTGTAGAGCAGAGCTCATCGGGACATCTTGCGGGCGCCATTCGGGAAGCATTGGGCGCTTCTGATCTGTAGAGGAGGAGGGGAGGAGAGGCAAGAGAGGAGATCGAAATGGGGCGGTCCGGCAGGGGCGAGATTCACCGCTGGGTGGGGAGTCTGCTGAGGTTCGATCGTTTGTCCTGGTGGTTGGTGGTGCTGGCGGTGCTGGCACTGCTGGGGCAGGAAATTGTGCGTACCTCGGGCCTGGTTGTGGCAGTGTCTGCCGAATTTGAGGGTTTCGGTGACGAGCTCGAAGAGATTGAGGAGGATTTGGGCGAGCCTTTTGTGGTGCCGCCTCCCGTGTTGAAGGAACCCGGCTTCCAAAACGATCGGGGCCCGCCTTCCGAGGTGGAGGATGACGACGAGACTGTGGACCTGAAAAGCGACGGGATTTCCACTCCCAGTTCGCCATCAGGGTTGGTCAAAGACAGCGAGGTGAAAAAAGTGCAGGAGTTTTGGGACGAAGATGAGTTCGAAGGTCTGCCTGAGGAGACGGCGGAGGAGCTCATCGTCACACCTCCTAGAGAAACTAGCCCGGCTGGATCCAAGCAGTCCACACCTACTGCCGCTGCCGCTGCTACTAAGAAGCAGGTGGTGCCCAAAGGACCTCAGACTTACTACATTGAGGCCGTGTCAATTTTGTTCCTGATCGCCTACATAACTGTCTACTTCGTTGGGCGCAAGCGCAATGAGAAGCTTGCACTTGCCTGGGCAGCTCAGTTCGCTTGCAAAGACGGTGTCTTTGACAAAAACTTTAGCTTGTTGGGTACAGGAGATGGTGTAGATTCTCCCTTGCTTATGAAGGAGGGGCAAAATGTGTTCAAGTTCTATGCCAGTGGCAGGCGGTACTGCGAAGGTCTGCTGGCCACCATGGATTTCCAGAGTCGCCACGATCTGATCGCGCTTATATGGTATATGATCAGTCCTAGGAAGGATGAAATGACCGTCGACGTCTTCATGAACGAAGACTCCATGGACTCACTCGTCTTCGCCGTGGCGCGAAGGAAGAATGCCAAGACAATGCACAAGGAAAGGGCGGATTTGCTGCAATATGCCTCGATCATCAACGTGACAAATAGGAAGTGGTTGTCGGAGGAATTGACAGCAATTAGTGAGTCGCGGGAGGTGGCCACTGATCTGATGACAGATGCTTTGCTGGAACAGGTGAACTTTCTTCCTCTGTCTGTGTTTATGAGAACGTGGGACATGTCCCGATGATCATGGCACTGTTCGTTTGCCACTTTGCCTACAACTTAATCACTCTTACTAAGTAAATGAAATTGCTCTCTGTCCTCCCCGCTTCGAAGGATATCAAAATCAACCCAATTTCCAGGACCGGCTTTTGATGATGCGAGTATGACCCGCTCGTTGATACTCGAGTGACTCCGTTAGGCATTTTCTTTTTTCGGTATGAAGAGAGCTTACTTGTCTAGTTCACGTTAGTTTTGTAATGTTTTCACAGTTTGCCGTAAATCGATTCTCCATAATGTGTGTACGGAGCTGCGGAAGACTTCAAGTACGCATGATACGAGGAACGCAACTACTTGTTGAATATTGGACTAGCCTTTGGACTAGTTTTTTGTTGACGATGTTCGTGGGATGCTGTGAGATGGCGTGTTTCTGAGTATCTTGTCGGATGGTCTGAGTGGCAGGTGTTTGGAGAAAAAGCTTTTGAAAAGTTTGCCAGCCACTTCATCTCCATGCACTTCACCGATCAGAGCCCATACGGTGCACACAGGAAGGTTCTTCAGTTCAAATTTACCATCCCATCTGAAGATCGAATGGCAGAGATGTCACGTCTGATCTCCACTGTAACATACTTTATAGATGCTGTGGGACGGTACAAGCTAAGCCCGCAGGTAAATTTAACAATGGTTGTCATGTTTGCATGTGTGAAGTTCGTGAAACTTGTTTACTGTCATGACACAGCCCTTAGAGTTGAAATTTATGCATATATCAGTAGGAGTCGATACGCTCGTCGTAAATACTTTCGGAAGAACTGTTCACTACCAGACTGCTTCTTACGTAGGATGCAGGAGAACATTCTAGCTTTGCAAGATCATGCCATTTGGCTGCTGTTGTCCCCTATTTCTGGTTGTCCAGTTTTGCATATTTGTTGTTGTCTTGATTATTTGAACCAGGTGTAAGTCAGTCAGGATGGACATACTTAGCTGTCTGGATTAGGTTTTAATCCACAGTTCTTTGGTCATACGCCCACGTTGAGTCCTAATATCGACTGTTCTTTGAGATTTTTGTGTTCTGTTCCACTTACTCTTTCTGTCGCATTTTGCTTTCCCTCAGACACGCTTGAAAGCAGAGAATGCTAGAGCCAAAGTAGCTCAGGAGGCGTTTAAGGAAAATCAAGGTGCTCGTCATGAAGCCCTACTTAGAAAGAAAGAGGAGAGGCGAAAAGCTTTAGAAGAAGCTGAGGCTGCGAAGCTGAGTCCAGAGTTTATGCGCAAAAGAGAGGAAAAGGAGCGTGCCCGACAGTTGAAGAAGGCTATGCCGAAAATTAAAATGACCCGAGCTCACTGAGGCGTCTAGGTTTTATTCATCTGTCACTTTTAAGGTGTTCACTCAAATTTTGATCAATAAATTGATCATGGGTTCAGCTACTTGAGCTTGTTTCCTACTTGATTCTCTGCCGTTTTGTAGGATTGTGTAACTTGACTAAACTTCCAAAATTTTGTCTTAGGAAGTCCTCTGTTTCAGTTTCATGCGAAGAGCAGAAGATTGGCTAACGCGTAGTTGATTTCGGCACATTGCATGATCATCTTTTTCCATATCCAGTTGAACGTTTTCAGTAGACGAAGATGTGAGAGCTGTTTCAAGAAAGTCTACGGCCGTTCAGTCTGGTCTTGGTAAGGGGAAAAGCGTCGAGTTCTCAACGAATCTGTGTAAACAAGTGTATTATATACCATTCTATCAGTAGTTCATCTACTTTAATTTTAATCTCTTCGTTTATTGGGAAATGTGATTCTTTTTCAAGTATCTCAATACACCCATGCGTTTATCTTTCCACAAGTGATTATGCATTTATCTTTATCTACTTTGGAAACAATATTAAAGATTAGACCGAGAACGAGACTGGTGATCGAAGGAAGAAACGTGGAAGTACATTATTTTGTGTAGGCAGTTCCAGAATGAGAAAGAGCTAGATATTGCATCTTCCGGTGTCTAGGTGCAGCTCTTCCGATTGCTGTTGGAGGAGGCTGTGGCTTCTCCTTGGGCAAGATCACCATCCTCTAGAGCACGGACATTGCTCTGTGACTTCGGGACACAACACATCATGAATCTTGCTTGGTATGCCCATTCTGTTTGCAATTGCTTTTGCAAGCAAGATCGCGAACAAACTGTTGGCAACATTCTACTGAAGAGCTCAAATTGATATTAAAGTTTTTCCTTTTCCTTGTCGACTGGCTTCAATTTGAGTTCCACCTCTTATTTGATCTGCTAGGAACGTGAAAGGCAGGCATTGAGAAGAGTAATAATTTTTTGGCCGGTTTCATATGTCATCCACTCCGTCCAGCTCCATAGATTGTTTTCACCAGTATGGTGCCTTCTGCTTCAATGTTACACCGTTAGATTCGCCATGGGGACGCAGTGAAGAGAACTTGGTGTTTATCTTTTCGTTATGCATCGTCTACATTAAACTTGGGAGTCAAGATGTGGAATTTGAGATGTGATGATGACATGATTCTGCTGCAACATCTCGAGTCACAAGTAGGTGCTACTTCTGCAGTCACCCTTCTTTAGTTCTCCGTTCGAAGCCAAGCAGTTAGGTTGTTGTTGTCATGTTACCGGGAGCTTAATAGCGAGGCCCTCTGATCCTCAAAAGTCTATTGTTTCTAGTAAAGCCGTCAAGTCGACACGTTCGTGGGGAGTCAATGCCATGGCGCGACAAGACTTTGATTAATTTCTTCTGATGTGTGCATGATGCCAAGTCAGCAGATATAGTTAGCACAATACTCTTTCTCTCTTCGTGATGTTAGGTCATGTGTGCGCTGGTATAGACGGTAGTTTTTCCTCCTCCAAGGCTGCACAAAATAGAGTTAACAAGGAATCCTCCATTTGGATGAATTTTGAGCACAATCGCCTGGTCGTTTTATGTATTTACATATAACTATGACCTGATGATGACATTAGTCATCTTCTCGTGGTCATCTTCATTGCGATTAATATTATGGTCATATCAATTGCAGTATAGTTGTATGAGAGTAATATTGTAGATCAAGATGCACTCTATTATTTTAGGATGTTTAAGAGTTTATGGTTAGATCAATTGTTAAAAAAACATGAAATTAAAATTACACCTTCTGTACTTTTTTGAATCAAAAGAGTGTGAAGAGTAGTAAAAACATCGATCTTTCTGACCCGATCAACTTATCAAAATGAACTAAATAATGTGATATTTTAAATTTTATATAAAGGATATGAATAAAGAACAAAATGATCATTTAAAATTTTTAATGTCTTATCTGTTTACAATGGTAAACAGATAAGACATTTATTTCATTGCAATCATTTTGATTATAATTCAATAAGAGGAATTAGTTTATGCAAGAGATGCACTTATTTCAAATTTGATTTTAATTTCATTTTTTATTAACCTGATTAAAAATAGAACATAATTATTTTGATCTAGGTAAGATTTTTCAAAATTTTATAGATTAATTTTGACAATTTTTCATGTAAATTACAGTATTATTATCATTTTATCTAAAACACATCAACATCTTCATGTATGAAAATCACTATAATTTACGAGTAGTAATTTTTTTGATTTTTTTGTATATTTATATTTATAAAATTAAAATTTTAATTAGAAAATATTAGATATTGAAATTAATGATATATATGAGAAAATATTCATTTTTATTATACATTATAAAATTTCAATTTAGAATGAAGATAATTCAAATTTTTTTAATTTCAATTAGAATTTTATCTTAAAATATCTTGAAAGTTGAATCAATGATAATATTTGACTAATTTTTTATTTCTATTCATGATTTTGAAATAAAATTTGAATGTTATTTGAGATTTATGAAACATGTAATAATCAAATAGGCTCAAAAATAAAAAAAAGTTAACAATTATCATATTTCTTTCATGCTAGATTGAAAATCAAGTTTGTAAAAATTCAAGAAATTCCTTTATATGTGATTATGAGTTGAATCTAGCATATCAATGAGTTGATTTATTGATGTTGGTTACGAGAATATGATAAAAAGTCTCTATATCACTCTTTGCAACTCTGAAACATCGTTCGCTTTCAGCTCCACACTCAGCCAGAACACCTTGAATGATATCAGTTTGATTTTGTAGAGTTCAACTTCTGGTTAAATTTTTGTTTTTTTATACTTTTGATTTGTTTGGCTATAGTTGACGTGGATGAAATCAAAATTGTGGAAGTAGATCAAGCTACAGCTTAGGCTCTACAGGTTGAACAACATCCGCAACCAATATTAAATGTGATGAAACTGAAAATTAGATTATTTTATTACAAACTTGAGATTTTTGACTAAAATCATTTTTTTTAAATATTTAAAATAAATCATCATAATCAAATGATTTAAAAAATTCATTTGAAATGGAGGTGCAAAGGTCTAGTTGCAAAAATACATTAAGTGATAATACTTTCATAATAAATAATTCTATTAATTGATCATATGTTATATAAAATGTTTATGAAGAAAAAATATTTTTCTTGAAACTTTAAAAATAATTTAATATGATGTATTGAAAATATGTGATCATACTCTTATACATGTAATTCTAAAAAATCAAGAAATAAAAAATTAACTTGAAGCTACAATTATTTTAAATTTTGCAAGTTCAAATTTTTTTACAATTTTTTCAAATATAAAAAAATAAAATTCATTATTGTCATTAATCTTTCAAATTTGTGTGCATACATCACAATAACTCATCATATGCTTGTTATTAGTTGATTTATATCTCAATAAATTAAGATGAACTTTAACTCAGATCAATTTATCAAATTAGTTGGCCAGTATATAGATATTTTATCATAGTTTTTTTAACAAACAATTAGATTTTAGACAATTAAGTGTGTTTTTTTCAACTTAGTTCAATGAGATGAATCATATATTTTTTTCTTGTAATTCAGTTGTGTGTCAATTGCTTTAGATATGTTTGTTTTCGCTAAATACTTTTACATGATATGAGATTGAAGAATATCAACAATGCTATCTCAAAATTTGGCTTATTGTTTTATGAAATGATTTGAACTTGAAATCTTTCTAAATTCATGGATTGATTGCATCACACATTGAAATATTGCGACTCTCAAAGAAAATCAGCTCAAATATCTATAAAATTTTAAGTTGTTTTTTAATAGGAGTTGAACACAAAAAATCTATTGTTGACTCATGAACATATAGAGTAGCAAAACTGCCACTTACATAAATCTCAGTTTCATTTTGTACAACAAAATCAATGGAAAAACATATGATTACATAAATAAAATTTGAAAAATTATTTATAATTGAAATTGAAACATTGGACAACTTGAATGACATATCAAATCCTGAAGTTACAAGAGTTATAAATAATTTTTTTTTGATATTATTTATTTATATAGTCACACAAACAAAATTTTGATTCCATCTTCGCAATTCACATAATTCTTACTTCTGCGTGCAATAAATGAATAAATTTATGGTTTTTTATCTGTTTGTTGCTTTCGTAATTTTTTTTTTCTGATTCTGTTTTTCTAAACAACAAACTTTTAGATCTCATTTTGCTTCTAGTTTCAGAGAAGTTTGATTGCAGGAATGCAATTATGTTAGTTAAAATGAGATTAGATTTATGAAATTTGACATGAACGCTTTTGCTATCCATCTTTTACTTTCAATATTACAAAACTAGTTTATTCAAAGTTAAAAACACAAATTTTATATATGTTAATTGAATATTATGATTATTTGCTTCCTTATAGAAAGTTTTCTAAATAATACAAGAAGATAAAGTCTTACATTCATTATTCATTTCACACTTGATGTATTGTTGAGATGAAAGATTTAGCTAACAAGCATATGGTTTACAAACGTGTCGGTCTAAACGAACACACTTTGTATTTAGATACAAAGTACACAGAATTTTGATGTTTTGATTATAGATAATCCATCTCAATATAATTCTACCTTCATCGTGAATGTACCGTAGTTTAGTAATCACTTATTAAATATTGTAAGAAAATTATTTCATTTAGAGATGCGATAAGTTTATTACAAATACATTCAAATTTTTTAATTAAAAAAATACTTTAGCTAGATCTCAAACTGATTTATGTGATGAATTTTCTCAATATCTAAGTAAATAAAATATTTTGGAATATTTATGCCATTGGACTAGTTTATTGAGTATTTTTTCTACCTTCAATTCATCATATTCAGCTATCAAGATTGAGAAAAATGATGACAACTTGATAAATTGTGGTACATGTTTTTGTAATGGACACATGAAATAGAATACAAATTTTCATGCATAACAAAAATTACATCTTGTATAAAATATAATTACGAGTTACGGAGTTATTGGTGTCAACTAGAACTAAATGTTGTTGTGATTGCAATGGTTGAGATATCTCTCAAGAAAAAAATCAATCTTTCATTGGCTCAAGTTGATTAATATTGATTAGAAACTTGTTTTGATGAAATTCAAAGATATCAAAATATTGAAACAAGATTGAGTAAAGAATTTATTATATATTTTGACGAAATAAATTTGTTCTAAAATAGAATAAATGTATCAAACTATTGAATTTTTTAATAATTCAAATAAATAATAATTGATAATCATAATAGAGATAAAAATAGCTCAAAATTTTATTGTTAATACAATTAAAACCTGATGATATTTTCTGTCTGTATCAGAATTAACTTTATTTGACCTTAACTCCAAACTTATGTGAATAAAATAATGATAAAAATATGTCGAGAAGTCAAATAAAATAATACATGAGAGCTTTATTTTGATAGTGTTGTATTCTTGGCTGATGTCTCCTGGTTTATGAGATCGAAGTTTTTTTAATCTGAGCCGCTTCTCTTGTGATTTCCTAATTTTTTCCCCCTTGACTCAATAATGTCAACCTCTGAAATAGCTACAGTGGTTTTTTAATCAATTTCTCATACTTCCAAGTCACTTGAGTTCTCTTCCCTTCTTGAGTCAATATCCAAAGCATCAATGTCGTGAGTAGAATTTCGCTAGGTGAAGATGAGTCTAGGATCTCGGCGGAAAGTCATTTGTCTCGACACGCTACACGCTACACGGCCAGAGGTGTAGTACTTGCATCTCGCTTCGATATCACTGCATTGGCGACTTTATCACCGTCCTTAAAATACCTTGAATCAGAAGATGCAGTAGGATTCACCTTTGGAGTTCCGTCTTCCTCAGGTGTCGTTGATCCTCTGGCTGGTTGATACTTTCCTTCTTGACTATCGCTTCGATATCACTGGATCGGTGACTTAACAATCGTCATTAACATTTCTTGGATCAGATGATGCAGTAGGTTTTATTTTCTTCCTCAATTGTCGTTAATCCTCCCGGCTAGTATATCTTTTTCTCGGCAAGGTCAGATGGCTGTACATGAGCAGGCTCAGTTTCACACGAACTATTGACATCCAATTCAGTGCCAGCGGTCGGAAAGTGAAAGAACCAGTTCAACTTCTGGCAGGTTTACCTTTTGATAAGTTAAATATAATCGACGGTGGACCTGTTCCTCTATCACCACTGTCATTCATTTTGACGACCTACTCAACTGCTTCTAAATCCTTTGGAACCGCTTGAACAGGTCCAGATCCCGCTAAGGAGCTCGTTGGCTCTGTGGAAGATCCGACTACCTGAGAAGCTGAACTTCAAAGATATTACAAGATGGGACAAGTTTCATATACGTATGCGATATGACAAAAGGAGATGGCCGAAAATTCCGACTTGTTTCTTCGTTCAGTCCTCCTACATGACTGTCATATTGTTTTCGGTGCAACTGCATGACTGATTGATTTTTATTTCGTAGGAAATTATGTAAAGGTCAGTCTTACTTTTCCTTACTTTTCCGAATTCGATTTGATTGTATTCGTGTATTATAGCTCCTTTTATCATGCAAGTGCTTCGCTTTGAAGCCTTTCATGGGGCACATATTGCATTCAGGTTTTTCTCATAACGAGAAACTTGATAAATATGACTTTCTTGTAATATGTATACTGTCATGAATCCTTCGCTCGCGGACGAAGATCAGTTGACTGCTTCTAGATAGGCATGTGCCTCACCACAATGTTCGAAAGAATCACTCACAGCACGAAAAGCCTTGTGTACACAAATTGCCCCTTGCCACTAAGAAACTATTGTGCGAATAATGGGGTCGTGATCCAACCTCATGAACCAATTGATCTTTTTGTCGCCATATTCATGAACGCGAGAGGAGGCAGCTTATTGCAGATGATGATCATTCCGCATTCCTGGCATCTTGATGCCAGCCCCCAAGCCAGTCGACCTACACAATGTCTGCGCCCACAGACAAAAACATGATGCATAACTGCAGCAAACCAACGCTCCCTAATGAGAAAGTACGTACTCGAGTCCACCGAAGATTACTCCTTTGCGACAGATAGAAACGACCGGTCTCCGCGTGGCAGTCTCCACAATGTGGGCCCCAAAAACTCCAGACGCGAACTGGTTCTACGCGAACTAGTTCTATCTCGGTCAGTCTCCCTTCATGGCCCTCGTGTCCACTCACCTGCACCTACCTCCTACGCTTTCAGACTCGCGCTCAGAAGAGAAGAGCTTGATTTCCCAACCCGCAGGTGCCTCCTCCAATCATGCTCACCTCGTAAAACCCATTTGCACATAGATCCGAGCCATCGCCTCTCTTCGCTGCCGCCAAAGAGGGAGCAAACACAAAAGCCGCCCCCAAGAGGCAGCAGTCGAGACCCCGAGGCTTCACGAATGTGGTCGAGAGCTTTCTTGAGCCAGAAGGACGCGCATATTTGATGGAGAGACAGAATCCCACTTGAATCTTTGCGCTTGCAGAGCGGCAGCGGAGCCAGGGCCCACGGGCGCCCACCTCCGTCCGCCCTGGCACATTGTCGCAACTTGCCAGATCAGAGCGAGCTTCCATAAGCTTCTATCAAGATTCGCACATTAGAAACTTCCTGAGCATGGCGCGACGTCGCTCCCTCCACGTCCATCCTACGCACTATCTTGTAGCTCGACAGGGGAGCGCCTGCTTCTGGAAGCACTTTCGAGCGCGCCTCGCTCGCTCTGTGCCATCCGATCTAATCGGGAGCAGGCAGCATCGCGCCATGTCCGCCGCGCCAGTGACCGCTCCACATTGAGTCCCCAGCCACCCTAAAATGACGGGTACCGATATCGCGGGGGAGACAACCTTTCATGTCTTCTCATCTGGCTGGATGTGGTCACCGAGTTAATTTAACCCAAATGATGGGAAGACCCCATCACGGTGACCGGGATGAGACCAACGTGTTAAAATGGGTAACCGGCTGGGCGGGTACGTTGCATGGAGACTGTGGTCATACCGGTCTTGTTACCGTACACAGACTGAGGGTACCAGTGCAAGCACAATTACTATGTCAGGTACATATTCTCTGACACACATTTGCTTCTTTCTAATGATAAGCCAAAAGTAAGCGGTTTCCTTGAAGGAGATGGCACGTGCGCTGTGCTTAGGTATTGAATGGATGAAAGTCAAATATAATCGGAGTGGTTTATCGGAGATCAAAATTCAAACGCAAAGATTAGAGCTCTATGTTGACGGATTTTGAACCCAGTACGGCAATAATCTTCTACGGTGTTCGCCGGCACTTCTTGACGCGAAAACCGTTCCTCACAGTTTCGGCCCTCCGATTGCACGTTAATCTGAACAGCTGAAGCTTGTTATGTGAATGATTGATGTTTCTTTAAGCGGCGCTGTGATTCTGGCGAAACTCTCATTTCTATCACTTTTCGGCCTCGTCGCGCCTCTCTCCATGGATCAGGCTCACCGAGGGATGAATCTGGCTCATATCGTACCCGATGAAATAAATATATTTAGTTTTGATTATATTCTTAATACCATATACTTTTTGATGCGAGGTGAACGACATCGTCCTGCAGCCTATCAGAAGCGGTGGGTGGGGCCAGGGTTGCGAAGGAATCACTCGTAGATCGCGGTCACGTTTGTCCAGAATCGCGAGTTTGAAGATCACTTTCTCGGTTTCTCTAGCTTTTCTTCCTGGATCTGTGGAGGAGGTCATAGCGATACGGTTCCACTGCGGGGAAGATTTGCATCACTGTCATGAGCACCTCCTGTAGGGGCTAGCATTTCTAGCCATAGTGATATGACACTCGAGTGCAAATATCTTCTCCCTGACGTACTACCGTGCTGGCACTTTGCGACTTTCGTATGAGATCTTGTTCCCATCTCGCTCACTGTCCACGAGAAGGAAAGGGGGATGCATGGAATGAACACGGGATGGGAATGCATCCACGACATATGAGGCAGAGTCCAGCTTAATTCTCATATTTTTTTCTTACAATTTAAATAGGGGAATGTTAAAATGACCACATAAGCCTGTTCACATGACCTGAAGAAATAAATTCTTCTCGCACACAAGCCCAAGTATTATCTGGGAGCGTGTTTTTTCTTCCCCTCTTTCCTGTGCAAATAATACCTTCAGGGTTGATACTTCCATGGACTCAGCCGTTGCCTTGCAAAAAATATTCATCACTTCACTCACGATCTCATTTTCAAGGCCTTCTCCAAAATGATTCCGTCGTTGGTCCTTATGCGTTCCTCTACAAAGATACACTTGGGCTTGTGTGCAAAAAATCAATTATTGACATGAGACGCGCCTGTCCTCCTTTAACAATTTATGTCCACTTTAATTTCAATAATCAGATCTTCGAATATTAATTTGTGCTTCTATCTTTAACCTGATCTCACTTAATCAATGTCTTCAGAAACCGTACTTCACGTCTCACATCCGATTCCGCGAAGCAACTCCTTCTTCTCTCAGGTCACAGTTGACATTCGTTCTATACGGAAGCAGGACTCAAGTGTCCCCCATCTTTAATTTCATCTACAGACTATAGCTTAAACGACTTGCCGCGCGTCTTGCAGTGCACACAGAGCTCGATGAATGCTGGCCGCAGAGAGTAGAGAGGATATATGAAAAGTTCACACCATGGAGTACAGCACAAGGAATGTATGAAATGCCCACAACCTAGCTTACAGTGCAAGGCATGTATGAAAGATCACCTTACACACTCGGAAAAGGGACAGAAAGTTTTTATGTGGATTCAGATCTCGGACCCATACACTTTTATGTAAACATTTTGTGGAGCCTATGGTATGATACAAAAGTATGTGCAAGGTACATATGATGTCTGATGTACAATAGTACAATGGATAGACATCTTCGCTACTTTCCTTGTGAATCTTGTCGAGGAATGAAATCTCAACATTCTTTACATAATGTTCACCCGGTACGCACGAGTAGACTAAATTTGGTTTCAAGGTGATAACAAGAACTTAGCTCTTCAAACTTTTACTTTCAACGTAGCTCGCTTGCTTACCTCAAATCGATCATTTTCGTGCATGCAGTGATAGTTGAGTCTATGAGTTCAATCGTTATCCACAAGCACGTATTTTACTCATAGAAAGTGTAAATATCGTTGTCGTAAATTGTGACAACTCATATCCATTCCATAATTTGAGCAATGAAAGCTCATCCATAGAGCCATATTTGTTTGACTTTGAAGCATTGACAATTCAAAGTATCGAACTTCTGACCTATTTTACTCACGGCTTGGAATGTTTTCAGACAACCTTCTCGGACGATTCAACAAAGCCTATCACTATTTTTCTCTCTTTGACTGGGCTGGACGTACACCGCACACTTACTACTTCATGTCTTCTCTTGGGTAGTCATTTCAGTATATTATATGGAAACTTTGCACACCTATGTGTGACGCGTGACGTATGACGTATGAAGACCTCTAGCAGATTATATCATCATCAAATCCTCCCTGGCTCAAATCATGGAATGTTGCGTTTGACCAGATTCCCTACGTTGATAAACACATAGCGTACACATGATGAACAATCATATGGTAAGGTACACAAAGTTATGCCGAATGAGAACTCACATAAATACCCAGTAAAATTACAATCTGAAAATTTAAAAAATAAATATCAGCAGAAACCCTGGTTCTTTACTTTTAATCATGTTTTTCTCAGTTCAATCTATTTCAACATAGGATTATCACTCATAGATAATTAATTCAAATCTTCCAAAACGGTTAGGAAAGAGTAGACGGATAGATATCTCGATAAGTTATTCTAAAATGTTATTCATTACTAATGTATAGAATATGGATGTGTGTCATTGGTACATGATTTGAGATATAATAGATAAACTGGGCTAGCAGCTAACCAACCAATTAGAGCTGTTGTTGTTCACATTTTTAATTTTAGATTACTCTCATTTTTGGAAATGCAGTAATTATTTCGACGTGATAATTACAAATATATTACAAAAATTCTGGCACAAAACTTAGCTTCCACTGGTAAATAATATCTTTTGAACAGTTGCATGCAATAAGATATATATTTGAAGCTAAATAATTGTAAAGATGTTAGTCCTAAACGCAGAATCGACCCAGCTCACATACACAACTAATGAGGAGTAAACAGACGAGATACCTGATTCACTTCTATGGTATCTACGTTCACGAGAAACATACATCCTTTACTCAGAAACCTTAAGTTTGTGACACAAAAAAATATTATAAAATCTTATGCAGTAAAGGCCAATTATAGTCCTGTTAACTGGAGTGATACTAATTTAAATTATCTAGATTAACTAGTAATAATTGAAAATAATTATCCACCAGTAAATCTAATCCTATTCTTTACAAGCTATAATAGTCAAGAGCACAACAAGCAAAGTCAAAGAGAAATTCTAGAAAGATTGAAGGGGCTCCATTCCAAATGCTTGGAGGACAACCATCCAGATATGCTTTTTTAGAGGCTGAAATCCGAAGTGAAACATTCAATGCATGATGCGTCAATGTTTGCATGTCACACGAAATCGCACATATCCTCCCTCTTGCATCATCGAAAAGGAAAGAAAAATCCACTCCACGAGTTTATAGCGTTGACGTACATATCGTAGGCAGCGGATGTGACAACTTCAAATATGCTATGAATAAGGTCTCCGTCATAAGGAGAACCAACAAAAATGCAAGGGTATGTAAGAGAACTGTATCTTCACGTTTCGCGTCTTCACTAGCATTTCACATTTCAATCTCGAAGAAGAAAAGTAAGATGCTAGGGTATGTAAGAGAAATAATTCATCTTCACGTTTCAAGTCTTCACTATCATTTCACATTTCAATCTCGAAGCCATCGTGTAAGAAGGACATGGTTTGTATGGGGCGATTATCACGGAGACCCCCGGGAACAAGTTCGGGAGAATGAAAGGCTTACGTCATCTTCTTGGCTACGTAGTGTACCATAACGACTTTGACAATGTTTGATATTCAAGTTTATGATTCTCAGGACTCTGAATCTATTTTTGAACCGAGGAGAATCGCATGAGCCTGCGCCTCGATTTTTGCTTGTTTCCACCTCCAACCAGCAGCCATATCACAAGATTCCAACCAAAAGAAGAAGTAAACAAAGAGCTCTGTGGAAACCACCTTGAGTCGATAATTCATTCAACTCTCCATTCCCAGAAATTTCTTCTCCCGTGGCTGTAGCAGGTTTGATGGTTTCTTGACCTTCGTCGCGCTTCCAAGAGAAAAGATACGTGACCATTCATTTATTTTGTTGTTTTCATTGGTCTATAATTAGCTGATCTTTCTCAAGTAAGAAAATGTTGGTTTATTTATTTAGAAATTTTGCTCTGTAATCTTTTATTTGAGGCGTATTATAATATATTTTACATCCGTGAGATTCTTAAAGGCTAGTTTTAAATTAACTAATTAATTTCACCATTATATGAGTAGATGGGGTCTTCTCATCTTTTTTTGTTTTATTACTCGGTGACGCTTGTAATTCAACCGCATGATCACATCTGTCTTGTTGTTTCATGTTACAAATGTCAAAATGCTACGTTTGGCACAATAGCAAATGCTGAATGGAGCTTTTCAGCGCAAAGACAAAGTCTTGATATCAGATGAACAACTAATAAGGCAAAAAGTATGTGAAGCAAAAGTCGTAGGTGAAACCAATGGGGTGGGGTGTGGCTAGCTCCATAAGCTTCACAATGAAGATCATGTAACAAGATATCCTTATCTATATCTAACAATACAACTTAAAATATTTCCTAACATATTTCAACTAATTAGATCAAATTTTCTACATAATAATGTAGCATCCAAAGTACTCTCATGAATCTTGCTAATCAAAAGTCTTTGATGAAATTATTGGAATCAATTTGATACCTCTGAAGACTCTTGACTCTTGAAGACACTCGATAATTGGCTGTTGACAAATTAGTTTTTCATGATTCTCATACCAAACGAACGTGTGATTGTAATGCATTTGGATTTCTTATCCGATCTGTCTACGAAAGAACTTAGAAAGTGAAAGAGCATATTTATGACCGTCGTGCCGCGCCTCGGGGCCCAAATGTGAATAATATGAGATCTGAGCATGCACATGCGTGCGATTACAGACAAAAAGAAACAAGAATCATTGAAGAAAAATCATAATACGTGCATCACATTCGAATAATTGTATGAACTTCCTCGACGTTGTTATGGAGTCCTAAAGTCGCAGTCGCCCCCTCCACGGGCAGCATGGTCCTCCGCGAAGGTGAAACGGGAGAAATGCCGTACGTAGTGCAACATCCGAAGAGTGACTCACGGTACATTCAGGGATACGGATCCCTGAAGTCCCTGCCGGCACCTGACGGGACCCTGGCCCCTGACCGGCCTTTGTCTCCAAGGGGGCGTCATCCATACCGTCGGGGTCAACCCTCCAACAGGAAGACCGGGAAACCCCGGTCGAGAGGTCGGGTCAGCCTCTGTCGCAGCTCTGCACGCAAGACACGGATCTGCTGGCGGCTTGGAGCACGATGAGCGAGAGTGGACCGCAACGAGGCCGGAGCGGAAGCGACGACGACGACGACCAACGAGAGGGCCGGAAGTGCTCTTGGCCGATGGCCGCCGCAAGGACAAGCCATTACAGGCACCGCAAGAGAGACCGATCGCTCGATCGATCCACGGCCCGTGGACGCGCCGGGCCGGGCCGGCCCGGCCCGGCCGGGCAAGTCTTTCGGAGACCAGAAGTGCTGGACACGAGCGGATTGCACTGCTTTCCACAGTGGCTGTCTGCGCGAATCGCTCGCAATGAGCATTTCGTATGCTCCAAGTTTAAGCTCCTGCATATAGAGCCTTGCGTCGGGGCGAGTGTAGTAGTAGTTGAAGGAGAATGCGAGCTGAGCCTGAGTCGGCCAGCCCATCTCAGTCCAGCGCCAATGTAGCTAGAGCAGAAGTAGTACTGGTAGTGTGGTTGGTTTCAATTCACTCGACGAAGATTTGAATCGGGCAGATTGACACTCCGAGAGATTAGAATTTGGGCGGGAGATTTGCGGCTCAATTCTTTGGAGATGCCCGCAACGGGGGAGATGACGGGCTCGGGAGTGGATGAGAGTGAGCGGATGGAAGCAGCCAATGTCACAGGTCGAGATGGCGGCGGGGTGGAGAAGAGTGGAGCTCTGATAGCCGTTGCGGAGGTGGGTGAAGTCGACGGGAAAGGAAAGAAGAAGACGAAGGGGAAGAAGGAGAAGGGCGATGAAGCTGAGCCTATTCCGCAGGTGTCCTTCTTCCGGCTCTTCGCCTTCGCCGACGGCTTGGACATCATTCTCATGGTGTTCGGCACGCTCGGCGCTATAGTCCACGGCGCAGCTCTTCCGGTCTTCTTTCTGTTTTTTGGAAAACTGCTCAATGGTATCGGAGGGAGCATTAGTCCCGAAATCGGTAAACAAACCGTCGACAAGGTACGAAAGATTTCGTATGACACTACCGGTGTCATGAATTGCCCCTTCCTCTTCCTCCCGTCTTACATCTGTCATTTACGGTCTCGAGATTCTCTCGCTTCTCGTCTGCCATTCCAGATTCACAACTCTCGCCTGCTGAATCACCACATTGACTTCATGTTCACTGGTATTGAAGTACTTTTTGGGCACGATGGTAGATTTTAATTCGAGTAATAAACTGCCAACTCGTTCATGGATTTGAAGGAATTTTGATCAGAGCTCGTCGAACATGTGTTCTGACTCTTAATCTATTCTGAACGACTATTTGCTTCATTCTTTCGCAGTATTCGTTGTACTTTCTATGGCTCGGTTTGGCGACACTCTTCTCATCGTGGATGGGTGAGTGGGGATTCCAGCTCTTGGCTTATGTCGTATGTGTGAATCGCTCGACAATAAGTCTCAACGAGTCCGTAGGTACAATTAGGACATTACTCTGAATCGCTGACTCCGTGACTGATGTCGCGGAGGTTTCCAATCTGAGTAGTAACCTAGTTGTCCATTTACTCACCTCCACTGCACGTGGTGGTTGACGTGAGCAGAGGTTTCGTTTTGGATGCAAACCGGAGAGAGGCAGTCTGCAAGATTGAGAGCGAAGTATTTGGAAGCATTGTTGAAGCAAGATGTCGGATTTTTCGACACCGACACCAGTACGGGAAAATTCGTCCAGAGCATCTCTTCCGACCCCCTGATGGTTCAGGATGCAATCAGCGAGAAGGTAAGAAAGCAAGCACCAAGTGATTCAATTGTCGCCACAGCAGTGACTAAAACTGGCGAGCCAAAAGAGCTATCGATTGATTCGAGTTCATTTCATCGTTAAGGAAGGGAACAATTTATTGATCCGATTCTGGTCTCTGAGAGATTGCAGTGCCTCCGTCCGTCTCCGTTCTGCAGATGGGAAATTTCGTGCATTACATGTCGACGTTCGTAGCGGGCTTCGTCGTGGGATTCGTTAACGAGTGGACCATAGCTGTGGTGACTCTGGCAGTTTTGCCTCTCATTGCTGCGGCAGGAGGCTACTACGCTATTGCACTGACGGGATTGACGAGCAAAAGTGCAGAAGCCTACGAAAGAGCCGGAAGCATCGCTGAGGAGGTAATGTATTGCACTGGACTCTATGGTCTCGTGCACGCCGTTCAGTCAAAGTCAGTCGAGTTCGTCATCGTCGGGGGTTTAACGTGTCACCCGATTGTGTCCACCGATGCAGACGATCGGCCAAGTTCGGACCGTCTACTCTTTCGTCGGCGAGCAGAGATCCGTCCAGCATTACAGCCTTTCTCTGGAGAGCACTCTGAAGCTCGGCTACAAATCGGGCTGGGCCAAGGGAATTGGAATGGGTGGCACTTACGGAGTTCTCTTCGGCTGCTGGGCCTTGCTTCTGTGGTACGGAGGTACCCTGGTGCGCAAGGGGAATCTCAATGGAGGCGAGGCTCTCTCGTCCATCTTTCCTGTCATCATCGGAGGCCTGTAAGATTTGCTTACCCTCTTGCTACCCTTTGGCTTTGAAAGATATCAATGTGCTTGTTTTTGTCATCGGGGTTCGTGTGCTTTTTTCTGATGGAAGTGGGTTCCGGGGCCAGGTCTCTGGGGCAAGCGATGCCGAATGTGTCGGCCTTCGGCAAAGGGAGGGCCGCTGCCTACAAGATTTTCCAGATGATCGATCACGAACCCACGATCAACAAGGTCGACCCGACGGCCAAGAGGCTCGAGTCGGTCCAAGGGCTCATCGAACTTCGTAATGTGGAATTCGTGTACCCGTCGAGGCCCGACACGAAAATTTTCCAGGATTTTTCTCTCGTCATTCCTCCCGGGAAGACGGTCGCCATCGTGGGCAGCAGTGGATCCGGCAAGAGTACCGTGGTGTCCCTCATCGAGCGTTTTTACGACCCTATCGGAGGTACGAACACGCGCACCTTCGTGTCAACTGATGATCTGAAGAGTAGTGCCGAGGGACCCCAGGCCGAATGAATTCGTGGTGCTGTCTTTGTCTTACGCTCCGCAGGGCAGGTTTTGTTGGACGGGCATGATCTTAAGAGCTTGGACCTGAAGTGGCTCCGAGGGCAAATCGGGCTCGTCAACCAGGAGCCCGCCCTGTTCGCAACGACAATAGCGGCGAATATCCTCTACGGGAAGGAAGGAGCCAGCGAGAAGGAAATCGAGGAAGCAGCAAAAGCCGCTAATGCTCATTCTTTCATTGACCAGCTTCCACAACGTTACATGACACAGGTTGGTCCGCCAGTTCCCCTCTCCCGACCTGAATCAATTTGCACGAAACGGCCCTATTGCCTCCTCTGTGCAACAACTCTCACATTCTCGAATTTCGTCCTCTTCCCCACTCGTACTCGTTATCCCTGTCCTGTAGCTCTATCTGCGGCCATGATCGTCAAATCATCACCAGCATTACTTCGGTCATATTACTCCAGACGCCAGAGTAGGATGGCAGTGCATTTGGTCGTATCTGCTTGATTGGTTTTATGTGTGCAAAAATTGACCTGAAACGAATAGCGGATGATTTGAAGTAGCCATTGCTGGAACTGAGCTGCAGCTGTCGAGTTGCTAGTAGCTGTCCCCATTCCAATGTACATTGTCATCGTTCATGGAATCCAATACACACGAATGAGTTCTGGTTTTTCCCGGGGAGAGCGATAGCCTTTGAATAAATAGAAACGCTCAGATACAGGAAGGTGTGATTCCATGACAGAACGTTGTTCGTTGGCCGCGATGGTAATTCTGACACCGACTCTCACGTGCCGGGCCAGTTCGGCCCAGAGGTGTGGCAGTGACCGCTTACATGTATATGGATAATTTGGGAATGCAGGTCGGGGAGAGAGGAGTGCAGTTGTCTGGAGGACAGAAGCAGCGTGTGGCAATAGCCAGAGCTATGCTGAAGAACCCCACGGTTTTGCTGCTGGATGAGGCTACCAGTGCACTGGATGCTGGGTCCGAGCAGATAGTGCAAGAAGCACTGGACCGTCTGATGGTGGGAAGGACGACTGTTGTGGTCGCCCATCGTCTGTCCACTATCCGGAATGCCGACTCCATCGCGGTGGTTCAAGAAGGGCGCATCGTGGAGAGAGGGAACCACGCAACTCTCATCGCGGACCCCAATGGAGCGTACACTGCACTCGTCCGCCTTCAGGAGATGGCAGCAACCAGAGGAGATGGCGGCAGCATGAAACGAGCCACATCCGGCAGACAATCCCAAATGTACGAGCCTGTCTTCTCGATTCAATTCTCAATTCTCGTCCCTGTCCAGTCTTCTGCAAGACTCTTCCATTTCATTTTAATTCTGACATTTTACCAGAAATAAAAAATTGCTAGCGTTATAAGCTTCCAAAGGAATTTCGATGTGAATCATTTTGTAACTGTTAACGAAAGCGCCGAACGTTCAAAATCGATTCCGATGACTGCTTCTGATGCTCGTAAAATCTGAACAAATCGTGCAGCAGCTTATCACGAAGTGAATCTCGCGGTGGATCTCGACGTACTTCTCGAGGTGCATCGTTTTCGTTGTACAGAAGTGGATCTGTTCGGTCGACGACCAGCGTCGAGGAGTCGGATGTGGGAACACGAGAGATCGACCTTCCGCCTCCTCCTCCCCCTCCCAAAGCTACACTTAAGCGTCTCATAGCAATGAGCAAGCAGGACTGGATATACGGCGTCTTTGGAGCCATAGGATCGATCTTAGCAGGAGCTATTAACCCGGCATTCGCACTCATCATCAGCCAGGTCCTGAATGCCTACTACAACCCGGACTTCGGGGCCATGAAGACGGAGGTTTCCAAGTGGGCCCTCGTGTTTGTGGGGGTCGGTGTAGCCTCGCCTTTCGTCTACGTTTGTCAGCATTACTCGCTGGGAGTTTTTGGCGAGAATTTGGTGAAGAGCGTCCGCGTGAAGATGTTCTCATGTAAGTGTGAAGAGGCGACCGCTTTTGTGTTGCCCAGTTTCTTCGGCAAGGAAGAATATCTCGTATCACTGAGGGTGTGGTCTTCTTGTCTTGTCTTGTCTTGTCTTGTCTTGCCCGTGAGGAGCCGGTCTGATTATGTGTCACCCGATTTTGGCCTTGGCAGCGATTCTGCGCAACGAAATGGCATGGTTCGACCGGGATGAGAACAACAGCAGTCGGGTGGCGGCTCGTCTTTCGTCCGATGCCACGCAAGTGAGGGCAGCTCTCGGGGACCGCTTGGCGGTGATTCTGCAAAACGCCTCTCTTATGACCATCGCCGTCGTCATCTCGTTCGTTCTGCAATGGAAGTTGACTCTGGTCATGCTCTCCATCTTCCCGGCTCTCGTCGGTTCTGCCTTCGGCGAGGTAAGCCCCACTGCAGCTTCCACTCATCTCCATGATTTCCATGCCGCCCCGTCCGTAGCCAATGCCAGTGATCTCCTTACATCTCGAGGCTGATCGGATCTGCTAGAGGTGTTTATGCTAAGGGGAACGAAAGTCCTGATGGGGAATGTATCGTGGAAATGTTTGTGCAGAACTTGTTTTTGAAAGGATTCGCAGGAGACGTGGCCAAAGCGTACGCGAGAGCCACGCAAGTCGCGGGAGAGGCCGTGGCGAACATCAGAACGGTGGCCGCATTCAACGCCGAGGACAAAGTGAGGGGCCTGTTCGATCAAGAGCTGGTGGGTCCGAACAAGCGCAGTTTCTACAGGGGACAGGTCGCAGGCTTCGGTTTCGGGATCTCGCAATTGTTCATGTACGGCTCGTACGGGCTAGGATTGTGGTACTCCGGCAGATTGGTGCAGAAAGGGGAGGCGCAGTTTGGAGACGTGATCAAAGTGTTCCTGGTGCTCATCGTCTCGGCGTTCGCCGTGGCTGAGACTCTGGCCCTCACTCCGGACTTCGTAAAAGGAAGTCAAGCCGTGGGGTCGGTGTTCGAGGTTCTCGACCGCAAGACGGCAATCGACCCCGATGATTCCAGCGTTGAGAAAGTGGAGAAGATGACGGGGGAGATCGAGCTGAAGCACGTCGCCTTCGCATATCCCTCCAGGCCCGACGTGATTATCTTCAAGGATTTGAACTTGAGAGTGCGCTCCGGCCAGAGCCTTGCGCTGGTGGGCTCCAGCGGCTCGGGCAAAAGCTCGGTCATAGCTCTCCTCGAGAGATTCTACGATCCCTTGTCCGGACGGGTCATGATCGACGGGAAAGACATTCGCTCGTACAACTTGAAGTCTCTCCGCCAGCACATCGCCCTCGTGCAACAAGAGCCTGCGCTTTTCGCCACCACCATCTATGAAAACATCGTCTACGGAAGAGCCGGAGCCTCGGAGGCCGAAGTGATCGAGGCAGCAAAAGCTGCCAATGCTCACAACTACATCAGTGGTCTGCCGATGGGGTACCAAACGGAGGTCGGGGAACGAGGGGTGCAGCTCTCTGGAGGTCAGAAACAGAGAGTGGCCATCGCCAGAGCCGTGCTGAAGGACCCGGCCATCCTGCTCCTGGACGAGGCTACGTCTGCTTTGGATGCCGAGTCTGAGAAGATCGTGCAGGAGGCCCTGGATCGGCTGATGAACAACAGGACGACCGTCATGATCGCTCACAGACTCTCCACAATCCGCAACGCGCACTCCATTGCCGTGATTCAAGAGGGAACCATCCTGGAGCAAGGGTCTCACGCCGAACTTTTGTCGAAGAACGGGGGTTACTCCCGTTTGATCAATTTACAAAACAATAGCCAAGACAACGAATGATCTGAACGCAGCATCTCGTAGAAATGAGCATCGACACGAACTAACATATTGTGAATCTAAACCTCACCATCGGCAACCTTCAACCTCCACGACCCTTCGTTGCGAAGGGGATGATGCAATAGTGTACAATATGTTCATACTGTCCGCAGTTGTAATTAGTCATCTCTCTTCGCCCGACAGCCAACCTGTCCCGCCCCTTTACGGAGCGCTCTGGATTCCCCATCTCCACTGCTTTTCCTTGAGACCATCTCCAACACCTGTCCTCTAAGCCCCGCTAGTCGAAGAGAAAGAGCTACTTGGTGATTTTTTTCAACCTTGCCTTGCCTCGTTGAGGTGAGTAACTAGGCTATACGAATTCAGCTAATTGTTGGTCACTTAGCATCTATTCAAAGATGTGTAATACGCAGGTCCCAATTGGTTTTTCAATCTGAAATTGAACAGACCGATTTATAACGCAGGCATGTGCGTGTGACGTTAGCAATGTGACGAGTATTGTCGATTGATTATTGGTCTCACTGCGGAAGATATCCGTGCTTGCGTTCTGGTCGTCAGTGTCAAAAGTGACCTTCGAGCAAACAGAGGCGACGAGCCCCCTGTTGAAATACAAACGGATTTTGATCTCCAAGAGTGCAACAGCGCAAGAACGCTATTATGAATCTCTCGTAGTCCACTCAATGAAAGAGTCACTCTGCGACGAATCCGAGATGGACGAGTTCCTCTGTCCGTAGGCAAAACGTTGCTGAAGTTCACCCTGCATAAAGTGGCTCGTGGAAACCATACACCGCAATAAAACTAACAGTTCATCCAGATTCAAAGACTCTCGGTCCAAACTTCCAATGCGCGGCGATTCCGTCAAAAAACTCTCTCGAATTCTATCCTACGAACAATGAAGGTTTACAGGTTAGACTCAGAGCTTATTCAGAGCATAGGATAGAAGCTCTGAGTTTAACCTGTAAACCTTCATTGTTCGAAGTTCTAAAGATTTGAAGCAGAGAAGAACTTTGTGTGGAACTTGTTTGTCATCTTTTGCTCCCTTGGCTTCATTCTGTCTGTATCGTGTCCAACGACGGATGTTCTGCCTCTACACTGCCGAACGAACAGCGTCCAGCGCGATGAAGCACGTGACTGAAAGGGGTAACGTTTCGCTACATGAATGATTTCGATATACACAGATCATCCAGCTACCCTGCTAGACAGCTGGCTTAGCAAGAATTGGCAATGCATCTTGGGCTTTCCGGTTGCCATTCTTGCTTGTGTAATTCCTTACCTTCTTTGCATTCATTCTTTTGTCGTCCCAGACAATTATGAAAGCTGCGCTAGAACTCACAGGCAGATACATAGCAGCAGCCAGGTCAAGGACACCATGGTGCTAAAAGCGAGGCGCTCTTACTTTTACTTTCTGTCGTTCGCCAAGAAGAAAGGAGTTTCTTGTGCGCCGCGAAGGAGTTCTGTCTTTGCTCGTGTCGGAAAAGTGCAGAAGCCTTTGCTTTCTCGACCTGACTGGGACGTGAGTTGTCACAGCAGTCACATTCAACACGAGCCTACAGGATACCACGTGTTGAGCTTTTCTGAATACCTGAGACTCGATTGTGACTGTATCTTCAGTCCTAATTGATGCACTGGTGCTTTCTGCAGAACACCATCCACGATCTGTCCGCTTGGAAACTTACTCCAAAACAGCTGGTAGCTCTGCTGACCTGTCTCCCTGTAATCGGAGTTTGTTGTGAAGATTCGCCGTAGCAAACTTCCATTTGAGGTATACTTTTGTCTGAGCTGAATCGTCATGGCAGGAAGCGAGAAGGACTGCGTTCAGAACGCTGCCTGAACATCGAGTAAGAAGATCAATCTCGTCGGCTACACCAACCCTGTCCTGTAATGGTGAATGCATATAAATTCAGCCTCGTGTTGAACAATCTCCTCTCATCTTGCTTTCCGATTGTCTAGTTCAAATTTGTCTTCACAAGAAGGAAGATAAATGGATCACGACACGCGTGTGTCATGTCTTATATCACAATCCTTCTGCAGCTTTGACGCAGCAACTTGAAGAATCCGCGATCAGATTGATAGCTCATTCGTAGCACGTAGAAATGCAAGAAGACAGAAATGCGTCATGGTATTAGTCTGAAGATGACAGGTTCAGATCAACAGGTGAAGGCGATGCAAATCGTGCAGAACAGTGGACGAACGGCCATAAAGGGACCAGTGCAGCAAAGCCAGCTACAGCAGCAGCAGCAGCGGACGCACTCAAACCACTACCTTACCCAAACCTCCTCAAGAAACGCAACAGAGTCGGCAAGGAGAACAAGAAGTCTGCTCTAGTCCAGGCTCCCAAGCTGCACCTCGCACGGAAAACCCACAAATCTACCGACTCCAGCACAAAAATTCTCACCCCATTTGAACGAGCAGCCCATGCGACCATTCGATACCCTCAGGCCTCCAACCAAACGACTGAGCAAGGTACCGACCATTATCGATCATTCTAATACATAATTTCGCTGGAGTGAGCTGAAATCAGATCTCGTCGCAAGTCTGCGTGCTGATTGATCGTGAGAAGTGACGAGGCCTTTTTACAGAGTCGACCTTCTCGAGCTTTCGCAGTTCTTGGAGGAGCGTTACAGGCGCGTCACCGTTGAACATTTGATTTGAACACTCGCCCGGCCCCAAGACTAGCAGCGTGGATTTGATTTGCACGGCACGCGCCGCGCGCTTGCCCTCGGCGCTGCTCTCTGATGCCCGCGCGCTTGTGATCGTAACAGAAACAGAGTCGGGGCGAAACCAGACGCTGCGCTCGACTCCAACGGTCGACTTTGAAGACGAGGTCAAGCAGTTCGAGGCTAGAACAAGGAAGTTCTTGGTGCAAGGACTCAAGTCTTCTTCTGTACAGAGCACGAAATGCGTTGCCGGGAGGAGGAGAAGCGATAAGCGCATCGTCATCGAGAGGAAAGCGTGTCCTAACTCTGCGAAGAAATTGCGCACTCTGAAGTTATTATTGTCGCGGGCGAGAATGGATAAGTCGGATTCGTCGGACGATGACTCGTCTGTGTCAGGTCCTTGGGGAAGCTCGATCAGCAGGTTTCAGACAGTTATGCATTCCACTCCCCAGCATCATCACCATCGCAAGCGCTACAACCGCAAGTCTCAGGAAGGAGCTCCGGATATAAAAGCAGGGCGTCTGTCGTCCAAGTCGAACTACTGGGACTTGCAGCCACAGAACGAGCTCGTGAATTACGAGCAGCCTGTAGAGGCAGCGTCTAAACCTCGAGTCAAGCTCCAAAATCGTCACTTGGGCTCCATCCAGGTAAAAGTTTCGGAGTTCTATGGCGGAAACATCCCATAGTATAAACAGCACAGTCGCAGTCTTGAAATACAGGGTACTGAAAGTACGAAATCACCAATTCTTAACGCGAGGATTTGTACTGTTGTAAATTCCTGTTCTTCATCGCTCTTGTTCGTATGTTTCCTCCTCCTCTCCGAACTTTGGAAGTCGAACATTCTACTATGTCTATTGAACGTGCACCCGAGTCTTTACTTATTTGGAGGCAGTAGCAAAAATTTCGTACATTTTAGTGGAGCTCTGAAAGTCAAGAGCCAGATTGCGTTTGATTGACCTACGTAATAGAAGTGCAGAAAACATCTCTAATCGGGGACTGGAGGGAAAACGTCGAAGACGGCGCCAATGGTCATCTTTCCCTACCGCAGGTTCGCGAATCTTTTTCGTCAAATGCCAAACTTCTCCAGGATAAACCCGCATTATTTGGTGTCGCTTTCCATAATGGGAAAAACTTCTTTCACTAAGGAAACCTGATTCCTGTGTCAAGGTTTCGAGGTTGGCTCAAATCCGCAGTGGAATGTACGTGCAGGAATTCCAGCAGCACATGCTTAAGTGTCAGCACGATCTCACACAAGAATTCAAAGAATTCAAAATTTCCATCTCCAAGCAGATAATGAACCTTCAGGTAATGTTTTGCCATTCCTCCAGGAGTGAAATTCCTACAAAATGAGGGGAAATCTACTAGGTTGACATAGTAGTAAAACGCACTTGTTTCACTTCATACATGAAAGAAATACTAAGTAACATTTTCCGTTTCTTCTCGAGGACATTGGTACAATCAAAGGTTTCAAGTCATTATGTATCGAATCGTTTCGAGATCTCTCAATCTGTTAAGGTCAATACCTTACACCCTCTAATGTGGACTTCACTGTTGCGACGGGAGGAACAGTTGGACATAGACACAGTTCTAGAATTCCAGAAAAGGAAGGACTCTCACAAAGCTGAAACCAGGGCTCAGTCTTCATACCGAACTGGCGCAGATTCACCCGCTCATGGTGAGCAACCCCTCTGCCATGCGTAAGGCTTGGAAAGTTTTCGTCATTCTCGTACAGAGAAGACATCATTCTCTCCAGTTTATTGATGTCTGCTTCAACAGGTCATGGACCCACTTCTGTAACGCCGTATCATGACATTTTCTAGCGTGCAGTAAGAATCGGAAAGCGTGTACTGAAATCTCATTAAATCTCTATAAATTTCTAAAAGATGCCTCATTTACTGAACAGAAGGAGTCGGTGATAACGTGGAGCTACCGACATATTCGTCCTTGAAAGTCAGGAAGGACGTGATCAAGCCAGCCTCGCCGTCTTCTGGTCAGTATTTCTGATTTACCATACGTATTTCTAATACATTCTCTTGTCCTTTAAAGTGAACCTGTGAAGACATAAAGATAGTTCTTACGAGGTACCAGAAGATCGAGATACAGCATGCAATCTACAAAGACCGTTTAATGTGCACGCCGACACTGTCCGTAGCCTGAAGGAGTGCAATTGGCGTGTGCACGTGCAGGAGAAAGCTCTCATATGCCCTTGTTCAGCTGTTATGAATCTCAGTACACTGCATCGCGAAAGTCGGTAATAAACACCATCCTCATCCTCCGACTCCTCCAGCTGTAAGCTCCATCAGATCAAAGACTTTACGAAATTACTGCTGACAAATGTATATCCTCTCGTGGTTTAGAAACTGGAAGTCAAAGGATAAACACTGATTGTTTATTTCTTCTTCCAGTCTGCGCAGACTCGTTCGATTCACGGATCTGAAAACGGAAGTCGCCGCCCATCATGTGCAGCAGAGGCACCAGGTCCTGAACCCCATATTTTTAACAACCCCATCTATCACGTTCAAACTTCGTCAGATAAGCGGGGTGAAATAAGCGACAGCGATACGTCCGTCTCCAGTGTGGAGCTTGCTAAGTTCTTCACGGGCAGAAATGGCCATCAGCATCAGCACCTTAAGACCGAGTCACATTCAAATGGTGACGGTTATCGTATGAGATCGGACGAGCCTAGCCTCGCGAATCATGGAACAAAAAGTCCCAGCAACCCCCGGATGCTCGGGATCGAAGAAAAGAGAACCTACTCACTGGTTCCGTATGGATCGGCTCAGAACCAAGCAGAAGCTACGGCAATACGTCTTCCTGAAGGCGATATCTCCGAGAACTCGTACGGGGAAAACAGAATCGAGAGTAATGGTCATGCTCAATCAAGTACCGTCAGAGCTGGAGGTTCTAACGAGCAGAGCCTGAGACAGAATAATGCACGTTGTCAGCATAACGACGCTTTGAGACCTGTTAATAAGATGGTTAACATTCCCCCTTTCCCGGGAATAGCAACGTATCGAATGCAACAACCTCTGGCCACTGAAGAGGACTCCACAGTCCACCACGACTTGGAACTGCGGCTAGGCAACTCGGGGATCACTTCCGGAAGGGCTTCTCCAAACGATCACAGAAATAGGCTTTCTCCGACCATATCTAGACCCCTCTCCACAACAGGTAACTGGGAGAATGTGCCCAGCTCATCCATCATCGCTTTGAGTGTAACAGATGGGCATCAAATGCCGAAACGGGAAAGATCAGACTCAGCGCAGGAACGGCCGCATAGTCGCAACGCTAAAGTCATAAAAAATGCAGATGAGCGAGAGGTGTTTACTCTTCGTGGTTGGTCGGCTGCGTTTCTTCACCTCACTGACAACTCCCAACAAGGTCCTCCATCTCATGTGCTTCAAACTGAGAGCTCAATCACTATGTGTAGACTGAATCCTGTTTGTTAGCCAGCAAAAGTATTTACTTCCATATCTTCATGAACATCTTGGTACCTTAAAGAGAACATACTCAAGATATGGATAAAAACAAACTCTTCTCAGAGTTAGACAGGACAGGTACCATTTTAAAATTCATTGTTGAGAATTCAGACGCAAATGAGAGGCATATAAATGGTTGCCTGTAAGACGCCTGCCCTCTTCTTCATAGGCTTGTTGCTAAAACTGCTTTTAGTGTGTAAGTATTTATGTCTATGAATTGCTTTCAACTGAGCGTTTGGACAGTTTCCGGTGGACAAGATTTTCAAAGAACGTTACAAGAATAGAACACAAGTTTTGCGGGATGATAGTCTCAAAAACAAATGTTTTTCTCAATGGTTTAATTAGGTTGCCAGGAATTTGCGCCTTTCGTAACAATCGTCATCTGAAGAAATCATCTAATGGGTTGGTTGAAAAACTTGCGATTCGATCTCACTGCAGGTACCCAAGCAGCTCCAAGTACGGTGACTGAGACTGTGACGCCGACGAGGGCCACGACTCCCGATCCACCCAAGAAAGAAAGTCAACCAGAAACAACTAACGGGATTATGAGGTTTCAAGGACGAAGCTCCAGAGGTGGTGTCGCGTGGACTGTTAGCGAACCTCCAGGCAGTGCAAAGAAGTTGAGAAATGCAGCTGCCTAAGATAATCACCAGCTTGTTAGATCTGTAACTTGAGGCTTTCAGACAACTGGTTTGTTCCTTTGATACCATGAACTTTGCCGATGATACACCAGAAAGAGAACGCAAGAACGCAGTGCTTTTGATATTATCCATCCAGTGGCTTGTGAAAAGTGATGAAACAGCCAGTAGAATGGGAAAAGAGAAGTCTAGGAGCGAAGAACAACATCGTTCCTCGCTCACCCTCGCTCATTGACCCGTTAAGGCATGTAAAAAGAACGTCAAATTCAAATTAATCAATGCAATAGAAAAAGCCTTTGAACACGTATATCTGGAAAACAGACCTCCATGTCAAGCAGACAGAAACAGTTGTATACCTGAGAAACAGGACATTGCCCGCGTGTATCCTTATCCGCAGTTCTGCGTCGAATGAATTATGTTGTTTTTGATGATAACTCAAAAACCAAAAACTTTAAGAACATATCCGCTACTCCTTTCGGCCATTGTAAAAAAAGTCTCTAGGTGTAGTGCGCCTCAAATCTGCAATCGTAGAAATTGCTATTCTGATTGATTGGTGCGAGTTATAACGATCAAAAACATCCAACATATCTGTTCCTCTGCTCCACTTATCTGAATTTCATTTCAGGCTCACAAAAATTATCTGATCTATTCTACACTGGGAATCATCCATAGCTTTACTCTTTTGTCTGTGCTAGCAGTGGCCAAAATTGGTGCCTTCCCACGTTCTGCATTCAACCGACCCACGATCACAGATAATCAGTAAAAAAAGTTTAGGAAACAAAAAAAAAAACTGATATTTAAAATAAACTTCATTAAAAATTACTTCGTTCGAAATTTTCGTGCAAAAGAAATCCATTTCTGGAATTCAAGACGATGGATCTGCTGCCCTAACGCACCTGTAGGAACAGGCTGAGGTGTCCATACAAGGGATGTTATCTCCCCTGCAAACGTCAACGGACAAAGCCAAAAGTTAGATACAGTGAAATTATGCAGAACACTTGCACTTGTTGTAAGCCTCATGGTAGAAAGACTTACCATCATGAGCATGCTCTGCAGAATCTAGTACCTCTCCAGTTTCTGTACTGAGCCACTGTAACAAAGTACCGTGGGTCAGCGCAAGAACTTTTCCATCTGGAGAGACTGCAAGCCTGTCAACGAGTAGCGGCTTCCCATTCTTATCCTTCGATGGGATTGGGAAGGTCTTCAAACATTTGGGATCTTCGTCTAGGTGGTATCTTACTGTCATCCAAACAAGAAAATCTGATCAGCTCAAAGATTTACCATCTTTATCTTCATATGAATTCTTGTGGGCTTCCATGTAGAGTCTGAGAAAACCCGTCCATTCACTAAATCTTCCTCGACTGAGTGGTAATAGATGCCTTTAACGAACTTTAAATCATGGGGCTGACCGTTGATATTCCACACTCGAATAGTCCCATCCTTGGAAGCAGTGATCATGCGCGTAGAGTCCCAGGTGAAGCAGAGCCATGTCACTGCACTCTGTTATCAAATCGACACATCACAATATTAGTAGTTTCGAAGCGTGAATCACTTGCTGTAAAGTATGTGATGATGTTGCAATATCAGAAACACAAGCTCGTAATCTCATTGAGGCAAATAAGCCGTAACTATTTGGTATCTACTGTTCAAAGAACTTCTAAATATCGCACGCATGGACTTTGAGACCTACGAGAAACAAAGAGGTATTGTACCTTGTGTCCCTTGAGTTGCATGACCTTCGTCACTTCTTTAACTTGTCCGTCTTTACCATATACAAGCTCCCAAATCTACATCGAGGATAAGTTGTTCAGCAGCATCCTTTGATATACTTCCTGTAGCAATGATGACGATACACCAACATGGACTAAACTTATGCTGAAGTCACCTATGGCAAAATCATTCCACGACTACGATAAGGACAGCCTGCTAAAAGATTAGTTTAAGATTACTAGAGCTTGGACACGTGCATTTGTAACCTACGGAGAAATCTTATACTTCAACACTTAGTCAAGGGTGGCAATTAACCTTAACATCTGCAGTAAATGCTGCTGCTGAAAGGAATCGACCGTCTGGTGACACAGTTGCCATGGTATTCTTTAGCTGATTCGTATCAACATTTCCAACGTTTTTACCATCTGCGGCCTTCCAAAGCTTGATGTCCGTACCTGCACAACAGCCGTAGTTTAAAATGGTGAGATACCCCTGCCACAGAATGATTAAGGCTCAATTCAAAAAGTGACAGAAAATCAAATATCCCTTTGGACGGAAGCAATAAAAAGAGAATACTAACCCTCAGAACAAGAAGCTACGATAACACCTCCATCCCCGGTTCCAAAACTTGCAGGAGCACCAATTAGGGATATTATGTTTCTTTGATCGTGTATGTGCTGCTTTTCCCATTTGATTTCCGGCAAGGGTAGCTTTCCTGGCTGTTTTGCATCTGCTGCTGGCTTGGCCCCTCCAGAAGCAAACATGCACAACCCTGCTCCCCCTATGTCCTGAGTGGCGACCACTAATTGGGATGCACCTTCTCCAAATGTAACAGCAGTGGGAGTACTGCCCCTAGGAAGATTGAGGCGTAAAAATCTGAAAATTAACAGCACGACACCGTATTAGACTAATGTTACAAAGGCACCCCCAGCAATTTGCCACAGCAAGGATAATAAAGGGGATCTCTAGAAAAGATAATCCTAGTTCACATCGGCATTGCCGATTCGTGACCCAAATAGTTTCTGAGTTCTATAACTTCAAATATAGGTATTCCCAAAATCTTAGAACTATCCTGTGACTATGCAAGCTTCTCATAATTTGGAACAAGAACCGCTCCATGGATTTTAAATTCGACATTTGATTGAACAAAATAGATACCGATTCAACTTAAAATTTAAAGCAAGGGAATGATGTGGAGACGGAGAATATAAGTACTTAAAGCTCTTGCTGAATGCATCCTCCAACTTAAATACTCGGACCACTTGGTCTGCACAAGCTGAATACCCACCGTCCCCACGTAGTTTATCCACATTGTCAGTATACATGTGAAGAGAATAAGAATCAGCCTGCATAAGATAGTGCCAAGTGTACCTGAGGAGTGAGGCACATTGACCTAATATTTAAACGGCAAAAATTTCAGTTCAAATTCCCTTGTTCAGCTGGGAGATTCAACACGAACAGTATTTCGAAACAAAGTTAGTAGACGCATGTCGATGACTCGAGTGTTCAATCAAGATTTGGATCACATCTTCACGACAGTAATTTTTCTTCGATCTCCACCAATCATCAGGTCAGTAGTACATCAGACATGGTATTCTAACCTGTGGCGAGACCTCGACCGTTTGAGGTAAACGCTACATCAGTCACTACATCTCCATGTCCTTTCAAAGTGACCAAGTCCAGGTGATGTCTTGGAGCATGTGCCTGACAAATACACCCAAATATCACTCGAAATTACACAATCAGAAAATTCGAAATCATACGACACTCCAAAGATGGAGCTTCTTGTGACCATCAAGATAAATTCACATGCGATCTGCGCTAAGATTGCCTCGTGGCAAGAAACAGTCTCCAAAACACATCCACCTTCCCAAATTTCCATCCCGATCCACGCCTGATTGAAAAAGTCCGCCCTTGCTAAACCTCATCTTGAACAAGAATAAGAAAGAACCGTCTCAAAACCAAGAGATCAGGGCCAAATCTCTTCAAGAACTCTGCAAAATTACCTTTTCAACTGCCGCTGCCTTGGCTTTCGCAGCAGCTGTGGCACTTTTCTTGGAAGCATGCACAGCCGGCTGCGGTTGTTGCACCGCATTAGCTTTCGCAAATTCTTCAGCTTCCTTCTTCAGCTTCTCGGATTTTTGGCGCTTGAAAGTCAGAATCAAAACGACCACCACTCCTATAATCGCCGTGGCCAACCATCCCAGCAACCCACCAGGGGCCGGCGCTTCGCTCGCTTCAACGGACTCGGCCATTATCAAATCACATATCGTTCTCGAACTCACCTCCTCCCCTTTCTTCTTCTTCCTCCTCGTTGACAAACTTCCGACTCTCCTCGGCCCTTCGCTAACTCCACTGTACCATTGTAAAGTCGTAAAACCCCAGGCCGGAAGAACGTGAAGCTCAAGGACTTCATTGTCAGGACAACCCTATGGCAGTCTCGCGTGGCTGACTACCGTGGTCGACCACGTCCATTTTTGAGGTTGGGGTGTTAATAATGTAAATGTGAATTAAAGGTTCCATTCACATGATTTTATTTTAAAACATAGGAGGACACGTTTAGACCTCTGCTCTTGTTAGAGTGTCCGAATGTTAAGTGATGTTTGTAATTTGACGACCTAAATCCTTCATCCTTGTAACACTTGAATGAGTCTTCCTATCCATTTTTTATTTTACTGAGTCCTGGGCAACATGTGAAACTAAATGAATTGTTTCCTAGACTCTAAGAATTATACACCCTAAATACTCAGTTAACGAGAGTTTTCGCTTCCCATTTAAAGGAGGGTGGTCAACTCATATGGACTGCACGTTGGTATAGTTTGCAACCTATTCATGTTGCAGGGGATTACTCTTCCAAAGTGATGGATGATTAACCTTAGCAGTTTCTCGGATAGTTCGTAGTGAAGTTTCAGTTGTCATTGTCTCCCAGTATAGAGATATACTAAAAAGTAGAATTATTGTCTATTAGACTTCGGGTTTTAGATACCGACTCATTAGAGTGTGGAAGGATTCTCAAAGTCTTTAACATTTGAGTCATTGAATACATTGAACTAAAGATAATACTAGATTGTTCAATCCAGATGAGAATAATCTTGATAAGTTTAAAGAGAATCATGTCGTTTATAGATTATAGACAGGATTATAAATAATTATTAAATCTTAGCATCACATACTTCGTACTGTGATGCTATTGGGTCCTAGCCCCAATAGTATGGTTACATTCTTCATGTGGAATTCACATGCGTTTTTCGCTATTACTCACCTCCCCCGCGATCATAGATTAAACAATCCGCTTTTTTTTTTCTTCTCATTCCTAGGGTATTTTCCTTATCCCTATTTTCAACCTAATGTCTCTTTGGAGTTTTCCGGTCTCCTCCCACCTTCAAAAGTTGATTCTCCTAGTGTCATCATTCAAGATCTCATCTGTCATTCATCTCTCGTCTGTCTACAGTACGTAAGTAGTTGAAGGTGTAGTACGGTATCATGAAATAAAGAGATTCTTTCAGTGCTGAAGTCCAACATGCATCTTAGTCCTAGGATACTTTTTAATTTTGATTCGACAATTGACCTTATCTCAAGGTTTATAGTGTATTGATACACAGAGGGGACGGGGACATCCGCCCTTGAAGCCTCTAAAAATTTCTTTCTCCAAAGTCTTATCTCCTTCTCGTTAAGGACTTTTCTCATCATGTACTGGATTTAAGATATATAAAGAATAAAATACTTAAAAATACCCACACAAGTGCAAATATAACACATATCTATCCATACAGCAATTTCCGGAGTCAAGAGCTGGAAAGGTGAAAAATCATTCAGCTTACAGTTACTGTACTTCGCAGTTGTAATAAGTTTTTAAAAACATTTCACAACAAAAGGATATTTCAAAAGGAAGGATGTGACAACAACATTACCCGGCGATCACAAGTATGAAACTGAACGATACCAAATTCTGTGAGTATATAAAGGGTAAGAAAGACAACAATGTCGGTACTATCAACATCTTATACAAATAACGAAAGCATCTTAACCCAGTAACATGGAGCGGAGGGAACAACGGTTGTTGCACGAGTGTACCGTATGTTGACCTCCATGAGGACCGCGGCCGGGCGCGAATTCAGATCTTCTTCCTCTTCTTGTTTGGGCGGGCGGGCCGTTGGGTTTGCGTTGGGTTGGAGCGGTAGGAGGCTCGTGCCTGAAATGTCGAAGGAGGGACTTCGAGACACTTGGTACGTGTGTCATGCTCCGCTGCTTTCAAGATCGGACGTTTGTCAGTTGGTTTTGCGGCCTTGCGGAATCAATGTCTGATCTTGCATATTTTCCAAATTCGGCGACCATGCTCGAGAGCATATTGTTGTGAGGTGCTGAATGCGAGATCCGCTGAGCTACAGGAGAAGGCGAACGAGAGTGAAACATCATATTCATGACAAAGACAGCTCATGGCTGTGTGGCCTTGCAGGTAAGGTTTGAAGGTTTCGCTTTATAAGCGTTCTATTTGTGCTTAGTTCTTCGCTACAGATACTCCACTACTTTAGTCTTGCCATGTTTTGCTCTTCGGTTTCAGAGACCAGGATATTCTTTCTTCATCATGGTGAAAGAGTTTCGTTGACATATCCATCTGAAAACTCGTGCAGTGTTTGTCCATTTTCCAGTCCATTTTCTTTTTTTCCCTTAAGTGTCAGAATTTTCCTTGCAGACGAATTTGAAGGAAATTTCATTTCATTATTCAGGGTTTTGTAAGGCATTAATTAATCAATTGAGTGCGGATTCTTCTATATTTTAGAAGAGGAAGGTGACTGCAGGTTGGATCTAAAAATAGAATTTGTTCTGTATGATCTGCTGGCTGGCAGTTTTACTGTGTAATTATTACTAGGATTACACTTTTCATATGTCTTGATCGCAACGTTTGTTGCTTTCCAAATGGAATCTGGATGGGTGTAAATGAAGACTGGCTGAATACAGTACAATAGTTCACTGGGTTGGGATTGTCTTCTTCGTAGTCTAACTTCGACATGGAGGGAGATAAAACACTTAACGTAGAGGTAGTCAGTCAAGGATTTTTTTGAAATGTTTTCATATCAAGAGTATCAAGGGACCAATCTAAAATCCGATAATGCCTCACGAGGAAACATAGTATTAAAGATGGTTTGGTCTGTTAGGAGATGGATACGCATCATTAGTTTCACATTGGGTCTTTGCCACGATACCCACATTCGTATCGTATAAACGCGGAGCCGTTTCTCTCAGAAAGTGGTCGCTTGCCTCAACAAGAAGGTAAAAACGCGTCTCTTTATGACCCGATAAAGGCATTGGACTTTCTGTAGGTTGCAGAATTTTGAGAGGCTGAAAAATCAGAAACCTCCTTTTGATGCACCTTGCACTTCAGTTGGTCAGTTAGTTACTTTCCAGAAATCATATCAACTTTACGTTTTCTCTTCATTCCAGTTGGGACTGTGGCGTCACAGCACTGCATATTTCACTACTGGCTACGACTGTAGTGCTTGACCTTCAAGGGGGTCAACACAGGAATTTGAAACTAGTCGACCGACCGACCAAGTTACAGAGTAAAATAGCAAAAAGAAATGATGAATCGTACATGGATGAAACCAATTGGATAGCATGGGGCCAGGATTACCCCGATAGCATCACGATGGGAAATATGTCATATGCCAATTCCGTTGGCAATGGAGACAAAAGTGAGGAGGATGAGCAACATAAGAAAAGGAGACTTGTGGCTGGTCTGGTCTGTTGTTTCATTGGACGACTCGTCAGTAGTGAGTAATTCAGTTGAACGGGAAAATATCTCGTGTACCTCTGTTGATTCAGGGGTTCTAGAGGAATCATGACTTTTTCTCTTTAGTGCCATACCATGCATTGTATAAGCAGAATAATTTTGATGTGTATTTGATCCACCTCATACCATAGTCTTTACCAAGTCCTATACCAAGTCAATAAAGAAACCCACGGAATATATTCCTTATTGTAAGCTAGGATAATCAATATGATAATTGATATACCCAGTGAGAGAATCCAAAGACCAAGAGAGGAAGGTCTGTGTCATAGACATGTGAAACATCCCTGGCCACGCTGAGCAAACCATAAATGCGTGTCGCTCCTCTTGTCTCCCCCTTATATCAAAGAGAACGTTGTCTGTCCTGGAGATACAAGTCGAAAGACTCAAAAGTTAGGTTACCCCACCGGTCTAGGTTTTCTGTTTCCTGGGGATCTGATCAAGATAATGTAGGCTAGAAAAGGGATCAGCAGCAGTCTGAGTAACTCTTAACAAAACCCTGCTCCTCGAAACTCGTTTTGCCACCAGATTATCGGCCGAATTCCAAGATTCGAACCGCCAAATTTCTCGATCCCTCTCCGGAAAATCTCGTCCAATATGCGAGACCAAAATTATTGCAGAAATGCTTAAGAAATTGGAACCTTTGTAAAGTAAACCGGGCGAGGGCCCACCGTCGGATCCGCCAACGATCGGCATCGTCCTCATAGTCGTATCGCATGACGATGGACGATGGATGGATGATAGGCCGTGTACCAGTCCACTGCCGTTTGTAGAGGTAGAGCCGTAGAGGACGTCCACGTGAACGAACGGACAGACGGACGGACAAAGGTACGGTCGCCAAGGACAGCGTGGAACGGTGTAGGCAACTGGGGAAGTTAAAAGTCAGTGAAACGTGGACGAAAAGACCGAAGAGAAGTCGATCGAACCACGTAATGAAAAGAGGGAGGAAAGGAACCAAAAAAGGGATGTACCGTGGCGTACGTACTACGCAGTACCATATAGGACAGTCCTGCGTCGTGAGTGAGTGAGGGACGGAGGGAGGGACGGAGTGCACACAGAGGGCCCCGGCCCCGGACTGTAGGGTACGGAGCGGGGCTCTGGGCCAGTGATTCAGTTCACATGGTACACAGCACAAGCACCAGCGGCTTCACTGCAAGCTCATAGTCAGCGTCTGCAGTTCTTGTAGCTCGAAAAGAAGCACAACAGCGGCATCGGCCTGTGACTCTGTGCGCATGACACTCTGGGGCCTGTCGTGTCTGTGAGGTCCGTGAGTGCTACCATTAAAGAAGTCAATGGGGGGATGGAACTACTAATAATGGTATTAAGGTCAATCTAGCTCCAGGACTATGATTGATTTCGAGCTGTGCACCAAGTGTCATTGACCGGTCTCCATTCGTCTTTCCCCCGTCGACTTAGTCAGTCCTGCCCGCGGCCCCGAACCGACCCGCCCAGCTCATCCCTCCCCTCTCCATCACTTCACTCTTCACTCTTCAGTGCAGTCGTTGCTCTTCGCTACCTTTCCTTCCTTTGGTTGTTTGTTTGTAGCAGAGGGCCCGGCTGTCTGTGACGGGGCATTCGCCAGTGAAGGAAGGAAGGAAGCTCCGGGAGGGAGGGAGAGAGAGAGAGAGAGAGAGAGAGAGAAAAGCGAGCAGCCGCCGCTTCGAGCTTCCAATCCAGTCGAGCAATCCAATCCTCCATCGGGCGACGTCGTCGTACTGTCCTCCTCCTGCCACGAACGAGTCTCAACTCGTCGGCTCGAGCGACGAACGACGACTTCTGCTGCCTCTGCTGCTCCCACTTGCTGATCCTGCCGCTGCCAGTGCCTTTTTTTCCTGCAGGCTTAGTTTGATTCGGCTCGGTTTCGTGGGCAGCCGGGCTGCAGACAAGACAAGAGTGGAGAACAGGAAGAGGAAGAAGGAGCAACTTCTAGCACGAAAGTAGTTCCGGTTGAAATTTATCTGAGCGGGAGGGGTGAAGGGGACGGGAGGAGGTGGTGTGGAGGGAAAGAGCATGGCGTGGATCGAGATCTGGCAATGTTAGGCCCTCTGTTGCGCGAGGGGAGAGTGACTGGTCTGGAGAGCTAAGAGGAATGTCGAGGAATCGTTGAAGATCGAGGCGTAGGACGAAGTGGGGAGTGGAAGGGAAGGGAAAATAAGGGAACGAGGAGAAGAATGGAGGAGAGATTGGGTAGCGTTTGAAGAGGAGGATTAACGTCGAAGGGTGGTGCGGGCAATTGGAGCCGTGGAGCGAAGATGAGTTTAGGGTTGAGGATCACCCGGAGCTTGCAGGTGGAGGTAGTGGTCTTGCTCTGTGTGGCGCTGGGTGTGATCAGGAGCTTGGCGCAAACGACTGATACGACAGTGGATAATGGGGATATTAGTTGTTTGCAAAGTCTGCAGGACGCGTTCAAAGGGGAGGGCGTTGGATTCCTGTTAACGAATTGGACGGGTGACGGTTTTCCGTGTAAAAGCAACGTGACCTACGCCGGACTGTTTTGCAGTAATGAGCATGTTAGGGATATCGACTTGAGGAGTATGAAACTGGAGGGAGAAATATCACCCGACATTTCAAAATGCAGCGCGTTGTCGAATCTAGATCTTTCAGACAATCAATTGACGGGAGTTATACCCATCCAAATTGGCCAACTCGAGCAACTGTCCAAACTGAATCTTTCCTTCAACAATCTGTATGGAGAAATTCCCGATTTCAGCAAGGCGCTGTTCACCAACGTGATCGACTTGCATAATAATGACCTCAGTGGTTCAATACCTACAAATCTCGGATACCTGTTAAGGTTAACCACTTTTGACGTCTCGTACAATGATCTGTCTGGACCAATTCCGCCGCTCCTGGCGAACACTACGACCGGAGGAGTGCGGTTCAACGCGAGCTCCTTCGAAGGAAACAGTGGCCTCTTCGGGTATCCTCTCCAACAACAGATGAATCACGGGCTCTCGGTGCTCGCCATCGTTGGAATAGGACTGGGTAGCGGTATGCTAAGCCTGATCGTGAGTTTTACGGCTGTATGCATCTGGCTGAGAGTGACCGAACAACGAGGTGCTGCCGAAGAAGGAAAGATATCACAGTTGATGCCTGAATCCTGATCGAGGAATGTTGGCCTTCCTAGTCGGCTCTCTCGGGGTGTGGCTGCTATCTATCAAAGTTTTGCCAAATCATCCAGTTTTTTTGCTCTGGAATATCCCGCTACAGCACATCGTTGAGGCATTACAACGGACTGACCAACCCCTTCTCTTCTTTGCTTTCAAGGGGAATCCTGATTCTTTGTCCTAGGGCAGGCAGTTTAGCTTGGCACACATGGTACGGACACAACTTTCTTTGTGTTCGTTTAGTCTTGACGATGGTAGTATAAGTAGCCCTGCAATCGTGTTGTGAGTTTGTAATATAATTCTTTATGTCACATCCAGTAAAGTTTGATCTTTCAGCCTGAACTCTAAACCGCAGATTATTCACTTCTCGTACTTCTTTAAAGAACCAGACCTATTTGCTGGATTCTCCATTCTTTATATCAGACCTGCGAGGTGATTCTTAGAACATAAATCCAGTGAGCTCATACTTTTTTTACTAGTATGGCCCCTGACATTTGCATAGGAGTAGTGTAAAGCCTGTATTATTTACAGAGCATCCCAGTCGCTCGACCCAAGAATTTGTCTGGAACATCGAGTTGACGAGGGTGACGATTGTAGCAGGAGGAGGACCACATAACTGGAGTAGCTTTAGAAGCAGCTACTCGTATACAGATGTTGTTCAGCTGCTCTTCCTCCAATTATGGCTCGATCCCAAATTTGTGCATCCACAATAGACCAAGATTCTGGATGTCCCGGCTGGCCTGTTGACTTCCACGATAGCACTCAAATATCCAAGGACGGTCTAGTTGGATTGTCCTCAACTTTGCAAAAGTTCTGTACTCAATTCGTAAATAATGCCCTTAGGCCTTTAATATAAGCTGCTGGAAGGATGGATGACCTACTATCATGTGCATGAATTGTTACTGAGTGCAAAATGCCTTGAAAGTTTTGTCCTCTATGTCTGCCTGATTCGAATGTTCAGTCTTGGCGTTCTGAGTTATACCAAACATAGTTATAAAATATTTGCAAAATATAACATCTTCTGTGAATTGCAGGAAGTTGGACAATGTTAGGACCCAAGCAACAGAAAAGATTTGTCTGTTGAAAGGTCTCTCCCTTTTGTGTTCGTTATGTTGTCCTCTTTCTACCTTCCTTATCGTGGTATCCCCAGTCTCTTACTCCCACAGACCAGTTCCCGAAATTCCTGCAGCTACTTCCTAGCGCTAGGTGTAGGTATTCGCTCCTTCATGTTGGAGATTGTAGTGTTGTAGGCTCCTTCTTAAAAGTATCACCGACTTTATCGTTATATTTCTTTAAGCACGGCCTCTCTTGAATCTCATGTCACCTGTGCCGATGTTTTCTTTCTACATAATACCTCGTCTACAATTTTTTGACATGTACTCATGCTCCATCTGTAAATCTTCGCGAAAGTGAAAAAAAAAACCTCGTACGTACTCTGCCCACTAAATATCTCAGGTGGCAGTAAAGGTGAAATTTGATCGCTGGTCTACGGTTGTTCCCAATCTTATCGGTTGGCTTCTCAAAGAATTGTATCGTTATTTTAGGATACCTCATCGTTCATCGTCAGATCTTCAGCAGCGAAGAGCAAAAAGGGTTTGGAACTTCTTTCTATGACGGGATCTCTAGAATGCACGGCCCATAATCTCTAGTGGTTTCCTTTGTTCGCACGAGGAGATTGTTTTGTTTTTTGACAGTACCTGACGGATACTCCACGATCACATGTATGACTTTCTGACTTCCGTACATGCCAGTTTCCTTGATCTACCTAAATACTTAAGCTATAAGATTTCCAGCCCTTCAAACGCGATCCAATTCTCTTAATGCCAGAAAGTTGAACATTTGAAATTGTAAGCTGCATCAGTACAGTTATCCTCGTCTTCCATCCGCTAAAAACGCACAACCAGGGAAGCTACGGATTTAATGTACTGAGAAAATTGCGGCGTCCTTATAGAAGAACTGGGCTCGAGTCCAGCTGGTTTGGACTTAATAACTCAACATATACCCCATTTCAGACGACATATCAACAACTGTGTCCAATCCTTCCCAACTTCGAGCCCCTTCGGATTGTTAGCTTTTTTTGCACTGTGAGTTGAGGAAGGCCATGTTCCACCTACCATAACAGTCTTCCGTAGCTGTCCCTTCCTTCATATGCGAAGGTTGACTGTAGCCTCATCTCCCCACGACTTCATGTCAACGACAGCCATGGCCATGTGTGCACGTGAATACCTTGTGGGATCGCCAATTTCAGGGTCCATAGAACCGTTCTCAAACTCATTCTCCAGTAAAAATGAACCCTTCCCTTTCCACTCCCTTTGCCCCGTTCGCTCTCTGAATCCCCTGGTCAAGTCAGACAGGAATCAAATCAAGGACCGCCCTGGTGCATGCCTGCCTGTATGCATGCCCCATTGCCCCTGCCTGCCTGCCGGTGCCTGGAGCTCAAATGCCAGGGTCTTGTTTTCCACGACCAGGAAAAAAGAAAGCCAGACAGACACATAATGGAGCCCATCTCCTCTTTTCTCCTTCTGAGAAGAAGTGCCAGAATGCTCCCCGTCTCCATTGGCCCTCATTCCCTACCAGAGACACAAATGTTTAAAGATACCCATCCCTCCCTCCTCCTTCGGAGTCCCTCCCTCCCTCGTACAAGTCCTACTCGTCTTCTGTACTGTGTAGTCTTCTGTACGGCCCCCACCGGCACCAGAGAACAGCAGGCCCGGCCCAAGGCAGCCCAGCCCAGCAGCACAGACAACAGTGCCTTTCGCTTTTGGCCAGAACGACTGGATTGAGCTGAGGGGAGTCGCGATGAGTCGAGTTAAGTTGAGCTGAACTGAATTGCCATGGAGTGGAGTGGAGTGGAGTGGTAGCAGTAGACAGGACAGTAGTGATCTCTTCTACAGACCTTTGTATGCGTGTGTCTGTTTCTGACTGTCGTCGTAGTCGTGATTGCTGATCGTTGGGCAGGAGGAGAGTGAGAAAGAGAGAGAAGAGAGAGTCTAGTGGAGGCCAGTGAGCATCCTGTTGCCAGACCATCCTCGCGGGCGACTGACTGACTCAGTTCATGAGCCACTGACTTGCCAGCTCCTCTACCGCAACCACCCACCCTAAACCCTGCTCCCCCCTCCTCCTCCCATAGATAAGGTTCCTCAGTTCCTCCCGCTCCTTCGTTCCCCTGGCCTGGCCCTGCCCGCCTGCCCGCCCTCGTCGCCAGTTTCTCACGCTATCTTTTCGCCCTGCCCAGCTGCGAACCGATCCGACCCGGACCCCGCTCCCCTTGCCCGTCCCTGAAACGCTGAGGTCAGACCCTGAGGAATAATCTGTTGGTGAATGTTTTTATAGTTAGGCTGGCCACTTCTGTTCCCCTCTTTCCCTCCTTCGTTGCCTGCTTCTGCGCCGTCCTCCGGTCCCGGTCGCGACTCCACTTGCCGTTGCCTTTTCGTTCAGTTACGACTGAGTCACTGAGTGAATCAGTGAGGTGATGTAGGAGCATTCAGTGAATTCCCACGTTGGACTGGAGATTTTTTTTCGTGTACTGTCATCGTCATCCGACGTCGAGGTGAACTACTCGGGTGATTGCAAGTAGGGCAGCCCGAAAAGACGCGTCAGGTTCGTCTTGCGGATCTTGTTTGCATTGACCCTTGCCTTTCGCGACCTTGTGCTCCACCATTCATGATCTCCTTCTTGTTCATGCGCCTTTCTCTGCGCCGTCCCGAGTTCCGATTCGCGATTCGAAAGGCTACTTGCGAAGGAATCGCTCTGAGATTTGTCTCGTATTCTCCCAAGGGGATGAAAGTCGCACGTTTTTTGCACGGAGTTTTCGGGCGCATCAAGCGGACGGGATGCCCACGTCAGCCTGCAGAACTCCTAACCACTCGCACGTTACGCTCGCCCGGGTCTAGTTCTCTCTCGGAGCCTGTCATTTTCTTCCGATGTATGTTCCGAATATGCCGCTCAAGGCGCTGTGGTGGGTCCCTCCGCGACGCCGACGTGGCCTCAGGCAGGCTACGTCGCCGTGCTGCTGGCATCGGGGCTACGGGGTTCTGAGCCTCTGGGTATGGAGAAGTCCGCTGTCGCGGTTAGCGTCACGATTGCAAATCCAAGCGGTGTATGACTGCATGAGACGTGAATCTAATAACTGTCTGGCACTGACACGCGAGCACATGGGTTTCTCATCGGACCGGGTCTCCGTCTCGCTCTCGTGAATATAGACCATGATTGGAGCCCCTCTGCATGTCGACTTCATGTTAATTCTAGAAGAAATCTGCAGCCATTTATGAAATGAAATTGCGGAAAGGACTGGATGAAATGGATAGATTCTGCACTGTACAGGTGATAGATACATGGAAGATCTAAAAAGCAAAGCATGTGAGGTTAATCATGATGCATTGTCACCGGCAGCTTTGCGTACCTTGGTCATGGGCTCTCTGGAGACAAGCAGCTGCTTCACACGATCACTAACTGCGATGGAATATTTGATATGAACTCGCCATTTAATTAGAAACTAGAATACTAGATTTCATGGCCGATTCCCTTTTCAAACCATCTGATCCGATTGAAACTCCTTATGTCTGTTCTTTGGAGTGGTTGCGCCAGGAAAAGTGACCATTGAAGAACAATTAGTACATCCTGGTACTATGTCCCATCGCATCTTAATCACATTTGTTTTCTTATCTGAAACACGTCATTTTCGAAGAACTATCGAGATTCCATCATGTTAATTAGTAATCACCCGTACAATTTAAGTTTTTAAGGCAATGTGTGTACAATAAGGTTTGTTTTATATGACACAAGATTGCATTGTAAGAAATTATCACTAAATTTGTATTTACTTCTTGGTAGTATTTCATTCAATGCTTCATTAAATCTAGAGAATTTGTTAACAGTTAATAATTTTTATTATATTTTTTGTTATATAGGATGGCAAACAGAAACACTGTGTAACACGTTAAATTTTTACTTGAAAAACGTTATTTATAGTTGTTAAACGTCAACTATATTTGCATATGGACATAGTCTCAAAAAGGAGTAAACAAGAAAGAGTAAAACCTTTGTTAGATTTTTTGCTGCATGTATTTAAATGACTTTTGTTGTTGTTTTTGGACAGACATAATAAACTTGTGTCACAACAGAGTCATAAAGTCTATAAATATTTATCATCACAATATTTTGGTTTTAACATTTAACATTAACATTTATTCCACTGTGTCATTCATTAAGATAGACTCGATATAATGTAAACTCCAAAGATGCATATATTTTAATTATTTCAAATAAAATTAAAATTTTAAAGAAATAATTTACTCATTGCTAATGTTTAGATTTTGAAAAAAATCATCGGATATCATTTTGTATGACATGTTTGAAACAATGATCTAGTTTTGCTTTTCTATCTTAGTTGCATGCTACTTATTCATACACAACATCCATCTTTTTGTTGATTCTTCACAAAATTCACAACCTTCTTGCCAATTTTGATGAAACCATCAATTTTATCAATTCTTCTTAAAATAACGTTTACGTTTATTCATCATTTGTATAAGATTAACACTACAAATTCACTTCAATGCTATACAGTGAAAATATGCTCTCAATGACATAGAAAAGTAAACAAACGTAACAACAGCAACTGCTGCTCGAGTTACAAAAGTTGGAGTCGAGTTTGGAAGATAGTGAATAGATACAATTTGATGAAAGTGAAGAAAAACGTTGCCAAACAGAACTCAAACTAGACCATAAGTGGTTCGTCATGAACTCAACATTCAGTTGAACTGCGATGAGATTGCAGCACTTGTTTGATACGCTTGTCCGGGGTTTCACTTTGGTCGTTGATTTGTTTCACAAGTGTGAACCAGACACAGGTATAGATTAGCCGACACACATTCATAGCCTGAATCGAGATCAAGCAATGTTTGATTAAATCGTTGTATATATGCCTGATGTTCAACAAGTAATGGACTTCTACCATAAATCCTCTGGAATGGAATGTGGTAGCGTAGAAATTGATTGATATGGTTTGAGCTTTGCTATGCTGAAAGCATATGAAGTAACAAGCTGAATATCATAAAAATATTATGGCTAGAAGAATGAATCTAATTTTGAAATTATTTACAAGAACAAGCAATGTCCTAATTCTTCTCCCTCGAAGGTGGCGACATTTTACTTTTTATTTTATTTTTAACACAACATATGTCGGATCAATGCAAAGCCGAACGGTTGACGCTGCCGCAACAAGGCTTTTTATTCAATGTTCACAGTAGATGCAATTATTGCAAATTTTTCATTTTATCCTACTTGGCGCTGTTTTCAAAGCTCAACACCAACACCTCAAATTTTTCACTCTATCCTGTTTCCAAAGCTTGATTGTCCACGTTACCACTTTGAGATTCTTCACTTGATGCTCCACCGAGTTGTTTTTGCTTATCTGATCGATTATTCTGAAGTGTTGCATCTCCTCGTTCACGCCCTACATATTGTGCAATTTTGCTTTAGAATCAAGACTATTTGACTCCGCAGCCGTAATCGACTCTTATGCACATTTTTAGCCTCCAGCTAAAAACGTGGAATGTATTCAATGATCGAATATGATTGAATATGAATATGATTGGTCATATTTCAATTCAATTATGTCTTTAATTTGCTTCAACCTGATTTAAGGCACGTTGATACAATCACATCCAAACTTGATCAACTCACATGCTTACATGTCAAGACAATTTTCATTTGTCAGTAGATATCAAGACTAAAAAAATGAACATGACGCAAAAAATGAAATTCCTCTCCGATCAAAAGACGACTTTTTGAAATGGAAAATTTTTAAAAAATACACATTAAAAACACATAGACAAAAAAATTTTTGAATGATAAATTTCAAAATATATATGATATTAGAACTTTAATTCTCAGGAATTAGTCCTAAATTATAAATTATGATATTTCCATATTATATTTTTAATATGGTGTCATAAAGTTATAATATTAAAAATATTAATTCATGTTAATTTTATGCAATATGTAGTATTTTATATAATATAATAAAATTAGACTTATAAAAAATATTATTCAGTTGAATTAAAAAATGAATTATATCATTCAATTATTCAAGATGTGCTTGTAAAATTTGTTCATTTAGTTAAAATTTTATAAGCATTTTGATTCAAATTTGTTGGAAAAAACCTTAGAATATTATATTTAATTTAAAAATATTAAAAATTTCATGTTTGAAATAAAATATCGTGGAATATGAATATCAAATTATGATCTTTGAAATTTTTCATGAATTTTCATTTATGAAATACGAAAATCAAGTTTTTTTCATCTCATATACTTAATATATTTGATTGTTAATTAGCTTACAAAATATATGTTAAAAAATGAAACACTTTTATTACCAAATAATTTATAACATTAAATGATTCTTTGATTTTTTGAAATTTATGTTTTGATATGCATAAGTTTGCATTTATAAATTATTGTATTTTTTACATAATATAATTTGAATTTAACATTAGATTATATGAAATTTTGATTTATTGTGATTTTAACTTTAAAACTTGAAAAAATGAATTTATAAAAACAGCATCACAGACATAGCAAGAACGCACATGCACATTGGACATAAGTGTTTCATCCATGCCATATCATGTATACAACGTAGTCCATGCATTAATGAAAAAATCTAACAAGTGTCATCACATACTTTTAGTTAGCTTTTTAATAAAGTGACAGTGTTATAGAGTTTTGGGATTTAAGGCTCAAATAAATCCTAATCTAGCTAACATGAATTACAAAAAGATCTCAATGATATAATGAATAAATTACTCTACGTGAAATTTTCAAAAGAAACCTAACTAACATAGATGACTCTTTACACTAGAATCAAAACGTAATTAAAACATGATAGAATGAATATATACAGACTTAAATAAAATGCCAACTTATGCTTCTCATGAGAAATCTGCAAAATACTATAATCTCTTCTAAAACAATATAATCACTTGATTTGCAACAAGATGTAATACATTCTTATTATCACAATATATTTATAACTTCATGTTTCAATTCTATTTCAGATAAGTCGATTCAATATCAGGTAATTGTTGCAATTTTCATAAGAACATACAGAAACAAGTAGAAACGCATAAAGTATACTTTACAAGCAATTTAATTACCATTTTATATTTTTACTCTATAATATTTTGGCTACTGTTCCATTCTCTTTAGCTCTAGTTTTACAAAAAGTCTTTGTTAGGTTTCTTGAAGAATTTACCGCAGAGCAAATATATAGATCGTGTTGTGGAGATTACTATCTCCCCGACATGAATTAATGGAGACTTTGTCAATGATAACTCACGTCATTTTTCTAAGCATATCCGCATTTTAGTGTTCACGTTTTCGAAATATTTAAGAGAGTGAGTCGTAGCTCGTCCCTCAACATTGTTTCAATTTTTGTTAAACCGTTTTGTTCCCGTGGACACAGTTGCGTGCTTTCTGCTGCAATAGGCTTAGTTTTTATTTTAATATAAGTTTTTATATTATTGTATTAAAAATTAAATGAAAGTGAGTTGAAAAGTTATTAAAAGTTAAATATATTATTAAATTAATCATGATTTGGATTTACTATTTTCAGTTTTTGATTGATTTATTCTATATTATCTGATTTACGTTCTATTTATACTTAAGTTTAGTGAACTATGTAAGTTTTGATTAAAGATTGTTCTTAAATTTATCATACAAATTACAGAAATATCACCCAAATCACGAGAGAAGGGTACATTTCTGGTAATAAAAAACCTCGCAGTAATGTGACAATTCTACAATCCTTAGGCTCACCTTTGCTTCACCAAAAACTTCTTACTTCCTAACTTCACAGATCCATAAATTTTATTCCATACAGCGTACACAGCAATCGTCTAATACCAAAACAGCTATAGTTGGAAATTCGACAAGCTACATCACTTGTGTTTAACCGTCAACAAGCTGCCTCGATTCATGCAGGATGTTACAACATGCTAAGCAAGTTTACATTTGAATATAAATTAAGCTTGGTCTTAGCTGAATCATCGGCTGGATGTACTATTCGATATGGTTCAATGGCTATTTAGCTCATCAAGGGATATAAAGGGATAGAGATGAGTGTTGCCGGGCAGATTTCCATGATAGAAACTCCAACCCTCCAAGAATGTGCAGCTATTGTCTCACTGCACTATAAAGTCATCTACAAGAACCTCCCATTACGGACTCCATTTCAACCCAAAAATGTGCCCTTGAAGATAATACAATGATAGAGTACTTTGTTTATACCTCAGAACTTCCCTCTCATCCAACTCTCTACCGTAAATTAGGTCAATTTGCATGTTTTAGTTTCACCGCCTGCAATACGTGAGAAATGTCTGGAGGGGAATCAGTATTAAAAGACAGCCTTTGAGTATTAAAAATCTGATTGAGATGAAGCACATGGTTTCAATGTCTTCAAAAGCGACTCAAGCAAACATCGTTATTCATATGATGATCAACTTGATGCCTCATCCCTGCCGAAGAAAAGTGGAAATGTCATGTCCTAAGTTTACACAATTGTGAATATGACAGTAATTACAAAAAAATCGGTGGTACTTCGTCATATCATTCAGGTACAAGCAGTTTGATACCTTGTGGATATTAATAATTCCTCGAATACCCCTTGCTAACAATGGTGGATACTCCTACATGACCTTACTTTACAAAGAAATAGGTGGCATCAGAATGTTAAATCATGGGTTGACTATAGAGGGAAGATTTACATTTGGAAGAAGGATATTGATGATCCCTTTCAATCCATGAACCTGGTTCCTGAAGTAATGTGCAACCCTTCACTCTTCAAATATTTGGAAAAATATATGTTCATGATCGCTTGTTCCTGCTGCTGACAGGAGGTTTGATACTAGCAATTCCTGTAACTTCCCTACCGGTTACAAGCGCATTGACCTCGTAAGTACCCTCATAGGTATATATGGGTTCGAGATCACAAAAAGCCTGTGACAATTTCAGGGACATCATTAGTTCATAACACAGAAACGATTGATTAACGGATCCGTATGCAAAGCTTAATAACAGAAACAAAAGGTTGGTAGACTTCGACAAAAGGTGTGTACCTTTGCTACATTGAAGTCTCCTAGGATACCATTTCCTCCCAAGAGCTCGCGACCTAGAGCGCACACTTCTCTCGCAACTTTCGTATTCCAGGCCTGATGTCAAACCATTCCTCTCTTGTCAGTCCATGCAAAAATCCTTCGATAATACAATTGATAAAGAAAAGATGTCCGTTCATCAACTTGGTCAGGCCAAGGTTTACCTTTGCAAGGCTCGCATGACCAGGCGTCATTTTACCAGCATCATATAACTTACACAGGCGCCATCCCATCAGATACATGGCCTGGACATGACCCAACATGCGCACAAGTTTCTCCTGATTGATTTGAAGAGCCGCCAGAGGAGCCCCAAATTGTTTTCTCTCCTTCAAGTATCTACGTCACACAGGTCAAGTTCAAGAACATAAGGTACAAACTCCATGTCTTCGATCATTTTCTTAATATCATATACTTTCACAAGAAGAAACAAAAAGCCCCATCTGAATGATGGGTTTTGGGTAATGATGTCTTCCTTAACTTACCGATGGCAAACATCATACACACCCATTGCAATCCCAATTGGCTGCCAGGCCACCATTACACGTGAAACTGCTAGCACCTGCAGTTCCAAGATCATAGAATAAGCTGATTGTCAACAAAGTAAATGCTAGTCTTGTTCTTAATATGATCAGTAAAACTTTTGATTCGTGCATTGGCAAAGTTACTGGTAAAAATCTTTAAACAATCATTTTCACTAATCAAGACCAACCAATATTTGGTGAATGAATCTCAAAAGCATTATAGTTCTATGTTTTGTTTACACCAAAAAAGTGATTACAGAATTTGCGCTTACGGTCTTATTAACAAGCCTTTACTAAAGAAGACAATTCCAGCTACTATAAACTGAAAAATCACGTTCAACAGCAGAGTTATCCTGACAATCAACAACACTTAACGACTAAAATATGATCATACTAGATTTGTTATGAAGAGTATGAAGGTTGAAAACTTTGATCTCCACTTTGACTTGCAAATGTGCAAAGCGCAGACTTACATACAACTAGACGTAATTTGCAAACCACCTCTAGTTTTGTTTTAAAATTGTTCACCCGAAGTGCAGAATTATCACCTTGTTTGTATCTTGGAAAGAATTGATATTGGCAAGTCGATCTTCATCGGGAACAAACACATCCGACAGCACAATATCCCCATTTTGCACTATTCTCAATCCTATCTTGTTTTCGATTTTTGTGGCTTTCAGACCTTTGGCACCCTTCTTCACAATGAATCTGGTGGCCATGTTCAAATGATACTAAGCATCAGCTTGACAAGGAGAGATGGGTATATTTGGAAATAAATAAAGCCCTAAGAGAAAAACAAAGTACTTCATGAAAATACAGGGTTCCTCTGTATAACAAGATGATGTCATTCCCATTCTATGTCTTCTGACATTCAACTTCATTCCTCTAAAGTACAAAAGCCTAAGCCGATGTTTACTATTCACCCACTAAAATCATCTACTGAGATCAGCAAGGGATCGTTCATTGGGTACTTGCAAAAGAATAAACATAGACGGACACTGTCAAAACACTAGTCAGGGTACCTACAAGGTTTTTTTTATACTTGGATACATTAGATGGGACAAAAAATAAGTTAAATTAGCGATAGAAACACTCATTACCCGTTGATTTGATTCGTCTGTGTGTTCCTCGCAAAGATAACCAGAATATCTGCAAAAGTGGCATTTCCTATCCATCGCTTTTGCCCATTGAGCAACCAACCACCTTCAACCTAACGTTTAACCGACACAAGTTTTAGAATCAGCGGGCTATCGGATCAGCACCAGATTCTCAACTAAAAACCCATCCACTAGCTTAGCAGGTGTGTCACTTCTTGGGAAGCAAAGCAAACATAAACGAATCGAAATACGTACATTCCAAATATTTCACTTGAACATAATAAACACAAAAATCGATTATACAGACCTTCTTAGCTGTTGTGTTCAAAGAACTGGCATCACTTCCATAGCCAGGTTCGGTCAAGCCCTGAATTCAAAATTCCGTACTTGCATCTTAGTGTACTAGTACCATAGCTTCTTTAAGCATTCACTTCACTTAGAAACAAAACCTGTAAATGAGAACATCCTCAGAATAAAACTGACATCAGGAAGGAGAGAAGCTGAGGGAAAAGAGGGCTCGCACCCAACAGGAAACATGATCAAGGCGAGCCAAAGGAGGGAGCAATCTTTGTTTTTGCTCTTCGCTGGCAAGCATGCCTGATAAAACAATTGAAATACATGTCAGATCTGCACTAGAGTACAAGTCCCCTAGATAAAAAAAACTGGCCAATGAGAGCATTTTTGTATTCACTTCCACACAGAGACACGAACTTCTGCCCGACAAGCTCCATTTCACGTTAAACATAAACAAACACGAATCAGGTGGAGACAGAGAAAATTATACCAATTGTCAGCATCCCTAAGCATGTATGAACCATAAGAAATGTTGAACAGCTCGCATCCACTCGCGCAATTTCAGCATTGACCAGAGCACTGCTCAAAATGGACATTCCTGGACAGCCGTATCCCTGCAGGAAAGTGCCCACCACTACTCAGGACGCAAACTAAGTGCACAGACCCAAAAATTAGATGTCAAGATTTTAATCCTTTCAGATTAAGTCAGACAACCACATGTTGATAAATGAATGTTGGAGAAAAAAATTTCAGTTCGCAAAAGTTTACCTTTATTGTCCCTCCAGAAACGTTCAATTTGGCAAATTTCGGAATCAGCTCGAATGGGAACTCTGCACGCTCCCAATACTAGAGATATGACATGAGAAACGCAACCTATTAGCTGTGAAAAGAGAGAGGTAAATCTGTTGAAATGGAAGTTCAATGAATTTGAATACCAGCCGTTACACCTCACAATGGTAGGCGTAGTTTTGGGAACAAATTACAAAAGAAAATTCCCGACCTTGGCGATGATCGGAGCAACCTCCGATTCCATGAAAGCCCTCACTCGATCCCTGGTAGCCCGCTCTTCTCCAGTCAGTAGATCATCCAACTGATAAAAGTCCGAGACTGCATTTGCAATACTTTAGATGACAGGTATCCGACGGTTTGTGGACATGTATCCATATCTGTGTGACGACGATACCTCGAAGACCTGGATATCGCCTAAATTATAATAACGAGGAAACACACGACTTCATCTCGATGTTCGATCAGAACTCATTGACATTTTTTTCCTATCCAGTGTACAAGCAATTACGAAAGATTAGCCGGGTTCACCACCGATGATGTGTCTTCTTCACCTGCAAGAAAAAACCACAGATATGGACACCCAAATCCACTTGCCTGATGTATTGAAAACTCACCAGAAGGAGGAAAGCTGGTGGCTGGGGTAGCTTGCGGGAAAGCCTTCTCGATCTCCAAAGCGGGTAGTCCAACTCCAAGAGTTGGCATTCCCTCGATTCCTCTGGAGCCTTTGACAGCAAAAAAAGACAAAGACAAAGAAACTTCCATTCAAATTCAGCTAGAAACACGCAGCAATGAACTCACAAACCAGACAACAGAGGTGCAGATTTCATTCCAATTCGACCCAACAAATAACAAACCGACTCTACTTCCACAATAAACGTGAAGATAACCAATACTTGAAATTTCATACACGATTGTCTATTCTTCTTAAAAAATTCGTCCGGCAACCCAGGAAACAGTTGATTCCAGGCAAATTTGCAAGCAAAGAAAAATTTGACTCACCAAGAGTTTCGTCCGACAAGCTTCTTCCAACAGGCTGCAATTGTTGCGCGAGTTGCGCAATTCTCTGAAAACTTCTGTCAATTTCCATGGCTGCGACGGACAGAACGATCGGATACGACCACCTCAAAGAAACAAAGTCTCCAGAAGTGCCACTCTTCAACAAACAGAAGAATGAAATGAATGACTCGATGGATGGAGGCGGGGCAGGAAACACTTTGTTCACCAGCGCCGGAAAAGCGAAAGGCGAGCAATTGCACACTCTTCTATAGCAGACTCGTTGAGCTGGCACCGCCGAACGGAGTCAGCCAAATCGGAATGATCCCGAGGCTTCTATCTTCGTCCCATCTGCTCTGCGCTGAGCGGAGCACCCGTTTTGGGAAAATTCTACTCGCTTGGCGTGCCCATTCCGCAATTGCTGACGAACATTTCGCCCGCCTTCCAACTCCGAGTCTAAGTCCTTACTCTCCTCGTCCCACCCTCATGCAGCAATCCTGTCGATCTGACTGTGCCTCCATCCAACCCACTGCTTACTTCTACACATCTTCACCCAACATAAAAAGGCAAAGACCACCGAGATAAATACAGAATGAGTGACATCACGGACAAAGTGGCACGTATAGTAATATGTAAGTAGTCCTTTTCATAAGTACTTGCACTCGGTGGAATTATCGGATATTGGGATGTTCACCATACACTTTTATATTATTTATTTGGTAATTGGTTTGGGTTTTTTATTTGATGATTGGTTTGGGGTTTGTAAGATGTTGAGGTTGACTTCTATTAAAGAGTAAATTGAGATTCTAATTATCTATAGTTAGTTTTGTCATCGGTATATATATATATATCCCAAGACTTCTACTTTGGACTAGTTATATTCACGTGTCAGCAAACTCTTTCAAGTGTTTCGTTCGTGGGCTAACGTAGTTCGCCCTTGAGGGCGCACTACGTTATACGACGTGTCTCTCGTGTTCGTTGCCGAATGTGGTCGATGTTGATGTTGTCAGGGCAAACTTAGTCATGGTCGCTGCAAACGTGGTCAGGCCGAATGCAGTTGTGGTCATTGCAACATGTCGTTGCGGACGCGGTAGATACGTGGTCGATGGGCGTTCAACGGTGACGGCGACGATTGATGATGCTTGTCGACAATAGACGGTGCAGTTGCGGGTGACAGTGGTCAAGGGCAACAGGAGTCGCGGATGACCAACAGTGTAGTCGCGGATGACGGTAGTTGCGGGTGACAAATGCTGCAATTGCAGATTACGGTGGTTATGTGCAACGGTAGTCGCGGGTGACGAATGATGCAATTGCGGATGACGTACGGTGTGTCACATGCGACAGCGGTCGCGCAGTAGAGTACATCTGCTTGTGCGCGACCGTCGTCGCACACAGGTAGGCAATTCAAGCTGGGCCGTCGGCACGATTATGTCAAGAAGATTCTATTCATTGAAAGATTAAGTACTTACAAGAAAAATATAACATTTTTGCATATTTTGTTTGAAACATTCTCTGTCTAAATATATGCAAATTGGGTATCGTTGGAAAGCTCTTGACGCGACTAGTGCATCTTGACACTTTCCCGAAATTGAAAATGCCACCAAAAGACAAAATTGACGTTGTTCCTAGTTTTTGCCGAAATGAAATGACATCGAGACAAGTTGGAGGATTAGGGTACAACATTCCTCCCTTTGATGGCCGAGATGATTAATTGCTTTGGAAAGAGCAGGTGAAAGTCTAGTTCATTTCTATGGGTCTCGTTAATGTGTTGAAAGAGAAACCTATGCACATTAGCAACATTGATTGACGAATTCACAAGAACGGGCAGTCTACATTGTGATGATGCATCTAGATCCTTTGGTTATGAAGCAAGTTGAGAAGTATTCTGAAGTTACATAGTTTTTTGATGCATTGCAGCAACGGTTTCATCAGAATTAACTATGACACGTGATGAACACCTTCATGAGGTTATTGAACTTCAAGATGAGGCATGCATCGATGATTCAGGATCACATTCACGCCTACAGACATTTGTTGATAGATGTTCAGAGTATGGGAGAGTAGTTTTTTGACGTAAAGAAAGCTATGCATCCACTTCACTCCTTGACCCCAACCTACCATATGATATCAAAGATTCTTCTTCATCGTGATAACAAGGCTGTAACTTACAACAAGGTTGTAAGTGCTCTCTTGGCGGCAGAGGTCGAAGTAAAAATGTTATCATTCTCTCGCCCACTCACTTTGAGTATTGCATTTACTGTGACCCAAGGTCAATGAAATCTGACAGATCTTGGAAATTTGCAGCGTATAAGATTATAGAGGCAGAGATCCAGATCCCCTAAGCAAATGAGAGTTCAGTTTAGGGTTCAATATCTTGATAAGAATAACTCGATGTGTTGGACATGTGGCAAGAATGACCACATCATGAAAAACTGTCAGATGAAAATTAGAGATACGAATCCTACTCTAGTGGCGAATGTTGTAGAGTATCTTCACTCTAAAGAGTAAAACATGTTTGCCAACGGTATATGATGCTAGAGATATGTCATACGTACTTCACCAAAAGTTGTTTGTGACGTATGAATTTTAGATAGTGCTTGTTCTAATCACATTTGTTACATTCAAGACTTCTTTTGTACTGTCTTAGATCAAACAATTCAGTTGTTATAAGGAATGATCAATCTTGTAGAATTGAGTATGTTAAAGATCCGCATGTTGGATGGTGTCAACCGTACGCTTACCTAGGTTAGATTTATACCTAACATGAAAAAGAATTTGATCTCTCTTGGAGTGTTAGACACCAACGGCTTTAGAGTGGAAATGTAGACTGGACATGTTAGGTATCAATCGAGTGATAAGAATGTTATACTTCAGAGATACAAGCACAATAATCTGTACTTGTTAGAGAGCACCACTATTTGTGGAAAAGTTAACTTTATCACATCTCACGTAGAGATATCTCATGTATGACATTTCAGACTAGACCATATGAGTGATTGTCACTGGACATGTCACTTCTTGATAAGAAAAAAAAAATTACCAGGTTTTGGTAAAGTTGACTTGGCATTTTGTGAACATTGCAATATGAACAAACAACATAGGCGAGTTTTAAGTGTTGAAATTCATAGTTTCACGGAGATACTTGAGTATGTACATAGTGATTTGTGAGTCCCATCTCTGGTTGTCTCACTGTCAGAGAACCTCTACTATGTATCTTTTATAGATGATTACTCTAGTTATGTGTGGGTATATTTTATTAACCACAAGTCTGAGTTGTTTTCCACCTTCAAAACTTGGCGAATACAAGTTGAGATTCAAATTGACAAGAGGATGAAATATTTGCTATCAGATAATGGCGGCGAATAAAATTTTGAAAAATTTCAGAGGTGATATATAGAGGAGAGTATTACTCGCCAGTTCACGACCTTTACATTCCACGACAAAATGCTGTTTCTGAAAGATTCAATAATACAGTGTTGGAAAAGGTGTGGAGCATGCTAAACAAATCCGATTTACTAGGAGAATTTTGATCCGAAGCCGTCAACATTGTAATTTATTTGGTAAACCATTCTTCTTCTAATAAAATTAATTTCTCCACACAATTGAAACTGAGGTATAAACGAATAGCACATTAAAATCACTTGAAAGTTTTTGGTTATACTGCTTATACTCTCACTCCAAAGCAGCACATTACTAAGTTAATAACTATATCCAAGAAATGTTGTTTTCTTCGATATGCTAGTGGAGTGAAAGGTTACAAGCTATGAAATTCAGTAATCCGTAAGGTGATTGTTAGTAGGGATATTTCTTTCGATGAGTTTGGCTTATTGAAAGAGGAGAAGAATTCTTAGGCTCTTCGTACTTACAATGAAAAATCTCCAGTCACATATGTTGTGAGGGAGTTTGATTATTATGTCACTAATGATCTATCACAAGAAGCAGCACTAATGCGTTTACAACATGAGGAACATGAGCAAGTTATTGTTGATGAGCCTATTGCAACAGTTTCAGATGATAGAGATTAACCAAAAACATCTACTATGAGATCGCATTGTGCTAGTATGGCTACTGAAAGATTCGGTGTATGGATCAATTCATCCATTCTTGAAGATCGTGACTTTGATGTCAAAAATGGAGATGGTATGGAGTTGATTTTGGAAGAAGCTTAACCTTCTTCATACAGGAAAGCTCAAGCTTTGGTCAACAAGCTTAAGTCGAATGTTGCTATGGAGCGGGAGATGCAATCTTTGATTTACAATAAGACTTGGAAGCTGGTTGAGCTTCCTACAGATCATACGCTGATTGACTCCAAATGGATGTACAAGCTGAAGGACAATCCAGCTAGAGACGATACAAGAAGCTTCAAAGCTAGACTGGTGGCTATAGGTTTTACACGAGAGAAGGGTGTGGACTACAACAAAGTTTTTTCACCTATCGCGAAGTATGCTACAATGCGTCTGGTATGTGCACTGGCCGCGATATTTGGTCTTGTTATGTATCAGATGAGTGTGGTTATAGCAGACCTCCTAAAATCTAGCACTTGCCGCTTTAACGTAAATATGGCACTTTCTAGCCATTAAATATGGCAAATTTGGTAGCAGTTCCAGCGCCGACGACTATTATGCGCAGATCTTCTTTATATCTTCAAATTGCTTTGCATGCATGATACCCGCCAACAACAAGTTTCTTAGGCTCGTTCGGGAGTTGCTTTTCTCGTGTTTCACGATGAAAAAGTCGCTCTCGACGGACGCCGTGTTAGGGAACGCTGTCGCTAGACCTCCACAAAGCTTGCGCAACTGCAAATAACGATCTTTCAAGCAGTCTCATGCTTGGTTAAAGAAGGTTTTCTCGTCATGCGAGTCGAGAGCTGACTTCACGGCTGGCTCGCACGCATACACAACGATCAGCTCGCGATGTTTGATCTCAGCGCGCTCAATGTCCTCGTCGCTCCAATGTTTCTTCAAGTGCACGCGAAACGGATCAATCACTTGGTTGATAAAAGTTGCAGGGCGAAGCTTTACGAGCTCAGCATGCATCACAGGTGGTGCTTCAAGCTCACTTGGATTGTTTGAGCCATCACGCTCGGCTTGGACAAGAGCCCCGTCACCAATGAACATCAGTAAGAAATTTGCAATTGCATTCACAACCAAAATTTGCAATCGCATTCACAACCTTGTTTTTAGAGAATTGCAAAAACATGTCTTGCGCTGAGGATACTTGATTGTAGATGTGCAAGATAATTGTTTCTGCTTTGACAATCCAAGTATTCAAAATGATGTTGGCGGAGATTTCAACTTCGTCCAGTTCGTCAAGAGCAAGCTTGACTCCAAATGCACCAACTATTTCAGCAATCAGCTTTGCGACCTCTTCTCGCTACTGCGAAATAACAAAATTTTGGGCCTAGATCGTGCGGATTGTGATGGCAATCTGTTGAAAGATCGGCGCTAGAGCTACGGCAACAATCCATCACTGCTCGGATGGCGCCGAAATTGATTGCTTCTCAGCAATATGGACCAACAATCAACGACGATGATGAAGCTTCCAGTCAAGCATGCTGCCGAATGCCGTCAAGGCGTCGTGTCTTTCGGGCATTGCAAATCCATTTCGGTTATGAGATTTTGTTGAGCTCGAAGATGAACGCTGAAACCATGTACTGTCTTATAGAACTCTTCTTCAAATACTGCTTGTGTTGCTTTCTTGGCAACGATATCAAGCTGGTGAGGAACGCACCAAACACGCAGCACTGGATTCGAGAATTGTCTTTCAAGCAGAGTCACAACTCCTGCATGGCGAACTGTCATTGTGTTCTCTCCATCCGAGCTGATCGAGATGACCTTGTCCCGCCACAATGGACACACAATATTCAACAACACATTGAAGAGCTTGACATAATTTTGAGGAGTATGTCGCTCAAAGAATGGGACCAAGACCAGGTGGAGATTGAACAGTTTTACTTTCATACACAGTCGAATCCGCTGGTCGAGAAGGGGCACTCCGCGATGAGTACTAGCATCAACAGCAAGAAAAAAAGCCCATACATCTGAGTCATTCAAGACATTGAACATGGTTTGCAAGTTGACAGCTACTAGTACACAATTGAATTGACTGATCATATGATCGTTGACACCACTGAGCTTAGCATTCCGTGTTGTAACGCGATGCTGTTCAATTACTTTCGCCGTTAGGCAAAAGTGCAAGTCGATTGAGACGTGCTGAATTGCAAGATCAAATCTCAACACGTTCTTGATTGTCACGTGATATGATCCATCGTCCTAGAGCTTAAACAGCTTCATCGCATTCACTTTGCTAATTGAAACTGAATCGTCATCTTCCTCATCATCATCCGGATTGAAAAATAAATCTCCCAACACATCATTGACAATTTTAGGTCAAGAAATCACAAACTTGAGGTTGTCCTTGTCGTTCTCAATGAACTGATGGATACCACCGAGCTCTTTATCCTTCAAATATGCAAGTTTCTCTTCATGGCTAAGGAGCTGATAATTCAGCCACTCTTCTGGGTGTTGAAACTTATGATGTGTCTTGTGCGCCTCTGGTCGGACAGGAAACTTGAACAGTTTTGTGTTCGCCGTTGGCTGGCGTTTGACACCCAGTCCAACGCGCGATTCGCGACCTGAACGTACACAAAACATACATTGGACAGTCACAATCATCCCATCAGCTCCTCTTTCATAGGGTTGCAAGCAGTATTCAGCCACATGCTTTTGCTCAAATGGCGTCTGACGACTCATAAGTGACGTGGCACGGCAGCAATGCTCTCGCTGGGTCGTTGGGGCCAGCTGGGGCTCTCTGCAGCAACCCGCAAGTCCGCGAACGAGTGCGCAGCAGTTGCCAACAACAGGATCTACGATTCTACGGTATTCGATGTGTTAGCCCAACCTTTTATAATTTTGGCACATTGGCATGTGTGCAAACATGGCAACTATTTTGAGAATGCCAGAGTTTAGGAGGTCTAGTTACAACCTTTCTCTATGGATATTTAGAGTAGTAGATCTACATGAAAGAACCTGTTGGCTTTGAAGTCAAAGGCAAGGATAGATTAATTGTATGGACTTTGATGAATTCATGAAGGCACAAAGTTTTCTATGGATCGTGTATGATCCTTGTGTCTACATGAAGACGGTGAATGATGAGACGTTGAATCTCATCATTCTAGTATTCTACATTGACGACACGCTTATCTTGGCAAAAAACCAATTCGATGTTGATGAATGCAAGAGTAAGTTGAAGTGTGTATTTAAAATGAAGTATATGGAGGAGTCGTAGAAAATATTATGCATGAAGATTCATATGTATTTTGAACATAAGATGCTATAGTTGAGTCAAAACAATTATGTACGTCATGTACTTAATAGGTTCAACATGGTCAATTCCAAAGGAATATAAACTCATTTGACAGCACAATTCAAACTCTCCGCATCTCAATGTTCTACGGATGCTGTGGAGAAAGGAAAAATGTCATGTTCTCTCTATGAACAAGCCGTATGCAACCTCATGTATCTAATTGTGTGCACTAGGCCGGATATTGCTTTTGTGATGGGCAAGGTGAACAGGTACATGTCGAATCAAAGGAAAGTTCATTAAGAAACAGTGAAATGGATTATGAAACATTTGAAGAATACTTTGAATTATGGTATAATCTTTGATGATTTATTAGACAATGCTTTTTTGGTTATGTTGATGGTGATTATGTACAATATCCAGATAAAAGGAGATTTACAATTAGGTATGTGTTTACATTTGGCGGTGGAAGCATTAGTTGGAGGTCTACCTTGCAAAAATGCATAGCTAAGTCAAAAAATGTAATTTGAGTATGTCACAGCAACAAAAGCGGCAAAGCAAGCTATTTGGTTGGATAGCCTTATCATGGAAATGGGATTAAAGCAAGGCGTGGTTAATCTTCATTGTGATATTCAGAGTGTTTTACATTTGGTTGCGAACCAGGTCATGGATAATAGAATGGAGCACATCGACATCATGTACCACTTTAATAGACAAGAAGTGTCTGATAAAACAATTGAACTAGTCAAGATCGACGGTAAATTTAATCCAACTGATGCTTTGATCAAAGTTATTTCTTGGAACAGTTTCAAGTTACACTATGCCACTATGCAGGTTGTGCATGGAAACAGATGTAGAATTTGCTACTATAGTAATTTCAATTATCTCTTTACATATTTATTTTATGTTAAATTTTAGTTTTCTCTTGTGTAAAAAATGAGTTTACATTAAGTTTATTTCTAGAATTTTCTGTGTAATAATAATATAAAATACAAGATCTCTTATCTCTCTATGCTAGCAAGTTTTCTAATTAACTCTTTATGTTGATACTGTAATAAAAAAATCTAATAGATAAAAATTAAATTATTTTAGTTCAGATATACACGTGAATAAATATTTGTATTTTTTAACTAAAAATTAAATATGATAATAAATATTCAAGTTAAAAACACAAATGAAAATTTTATGTTCTTATTCAAGAAATATGATGTATGGTAGATAAAAAAAAATTAATTTACTCGTACATGTTGAAAAGATATATATATATATATATATATATATATACCATTCAAGATGCTTTATCATCTTGAGAGTTTGTGTCTGATTTAGGTATGTAACAATTATACACAAGCTAAGTTCAGTTTTTTTATGAATTCGTGTAGAAATAGAATTTCCTATTTAAGATTGCATGTGAAATATTAAAATTCACGTAGAGAAAAAATTGATGTGAAAGTTTTATCTTGTTATATTTGTTGGATTTTTAATCATCTAAAATGTTTGAAGTAAACACGTATTGAGAAATAATGGAAACAATTGACATAGATAATGTTCAATATTCTCCAAGTATGTTGATGTAAATAAATCTTATTGCAAAGAGCATATCTAGTTGAAAAACTAACAAATGAGTCTAGTTGAATTGGAAGGAAAATATAATTTAAAAAAATTACTGGTAGGAAAATGGAAAAATAGTTTTCAACCAGCAATTGACGCGTCTCGGATTCACCTCACTAACTTTGTCATTGCCCCAAGCGCAAAGATGGCCGAGTAGTTAATTGTTTTCCATAGATCAGCTATTCGCTCAAATGAAACCATTGAAATTTAGTTCCATAATAATTAAAATCTTCAAGAACGATGAACATTGTTTCAAAACACTCGAACTCTAAAAATTATCAGTCAAAAATTCAAGATATGGAATTTAATCTACAAAAATAATCAGATGAGGCCAAAATTATATGAACAGATTGAAAATACCATGAAATGGATGTGATAATTTGGATACTACATATAAACCATCACCTTCGATCTTGAAATTGATACCCCGCAAAATCACAAATAAATTTCATTGCTTCACTATTTGTTCTAAAAGTACAAATAGTTATATTCTCCGAAAAGTTGCTTCCATTCTTCAACTCCTGTACCACTTGGCGTATGGCCATGACAGAAGATTTCTTGGCTAAAATCAGAAACTCCGAACTTAGGGAACAAGTATAGGAGAGACTCTCCATCCTCCATCACATCTCTCTCTCTTCCTTCCTTCCTTTGACAACGCGTCATGCCTTTTTCCTTCAGATTTTTACAGCTGAACGCTGACGACAGCAGTCCGTTACTACTTTTCATTAGCAAGATCAGCATCCACTGCCGGCTACCTTGGGCCTCTTCACGCTTTCAAGTGATTATTCATATCCCATTCGAAAAATGTGCTCCAGAGAATACCAAAAGCATGGTCAGATTTAGAAGAAAATTAAATCAATGTACACTGAAAAAAAGTTTCAAACCGAATCACGCAAGAGTAAGGAGTGGACACGATGCCTACCTGAGCTCAAAATTTCGTGCACGTTCCAGCAGCAGACAATGAAGGTATCACAAACAAGTGGCACGGTTCTTCAGTAGGAGATTAATGTGCATAAACTGCGTGCGTGCGGGCACACGACGAGAGCACAAACAGAAAATGCAGTACTGTACTCTTTCTTTCTCATGATCAAATCTGGAGGAGCCACTGGTAAGTCGATGTTTCAGCAATCGGATTCGATGTTCAACTTGTCAAAATTTATGTACATGAGTACTAAGGTCTACCTTGCAGTCAGTGTGACAGATAATGAATGGGTGGATAGTTCGATCCTTCCTTCGTTCCCTCTCTAGAAGCGTAATGAAACAAGAACAAATTAGAAATTGTCGGGAATGCGCCTCGTTACAAAGCCAGCGTTGAGCCTGTACGTGGGCATCGATGATTTGAGTTTTGACAGCTCGCTCATGAAGTTCAGGGTCTAATTTACGAAGACGAGAAACAGTCGATTACTTGCTCGAGGGTAGAAGGAAGAGGGAAGCTAGTCCCTCTTCCAGGAGAACTAGTCCCCTGAGTCTGAAACGTTCGATCGTGCAGACAAAGCTCCTGTTTCTGTATCGACAGAGTCTGTTCCAACTTCCTCGTAGTCTTTCTCGAGGGCCGCGAGGTCTTCACGCGCTTCAGAAAACTCACCTTCCTCCATACCCTCACCCACATACCAATGAACAAATGCGCGCTTAGAGTACATGAGATCGAACTTGTGATCGATTCTGGCAAAAACCTCGGCGACGCTGGTGGAATTGGAAATCATGCATACGGCTCGCTGCACCTTGGCAAGATCGCCGCCAGGCACTACAGTCGGCGGCTGGTAGTTGATACCGCACTTGAATCCTGTGGGACACCAGTCAACGAACTGAATTGTTCTCTTGGACTTGATGCTAGCTACTGCCACATTCACATCCTTGGGCACCACATCCCCACGATACATCATGCAGCAGGCCATATACTTACCATGACGAGGATCGCACTTGGCCATCATGGACGATGGCTCAAATGCGCTGTTGGTTATTTCCCCCACCGAAAGCTGCTCGTGATAAGCTTTCTCTGCTGAAACCACAGGCGCATACGACGACAGCATGAAGTGGATCCGCGGGTACGGCACCAGATTCGTCTGAAATTCCGTGATATCCACGTTCAGAGCGCCGTCAAAACGCAACGATGCCGTCAGCGAAGATATCACCTGCGCGCGCTTCACTACGTTCATCAGTGCTGCATTCACCTCCTCGAATCCCCCACAGACCTCCATCAATTCGGTCACTCACAGCTTCAAAGAAAAACCAAATTTCTAATCACCGAGTCACCGAACACAAATCTTTGCCATGTACATCCGATCGATCGAGAGAGCTCGTCTACTTCGATTGATCACCGAATCGTAAGAACTCAGATGCCTATGGAACAGACGTTCTGGACATATGGGATTTGTTGTACCTGTGAGACGAGCCTGTTCAAGTTGGTGTAAGTGGGTCGTTCGATATCGAGGGAACGTCGACAGATGTCATAGATGGCCTCGTTGTCGAGCAGCACAGCGACGTCTGTGTGCTCGAGCAGCGAGTGCGTCGAGAGGACGCTGTTGTATGGCTCGACGACGGCCGTCGACACCTGCGGCGATGGGTACACGGTGAATCCCAGCTTCGCTTTCTTGCCATAGTCCACTGTCAATCGTTCCAGAAGCAAAGACCCGAGCCCCGATCCCGTGCCGCCTCCGACTGCGTGGAAGAGAAGGAAGCCCTGGAGGCTGGTGCAGTTGTCCGCTAGCTTTCGCAGTCGATCTAGGCACAGGTCCACCATATCCTTGCCGACTGCACGACAAGGTTGGTGATTATTCTCTTATTTGAATCTGACTCTCTTCTCATCTCATCGAACACTCCTTTCGGAAATTTTCAAGCAAATGGAGAGGTATTTTAGTGGCAGCTATGAGCTATAATATGATAGACGGTAATTCTGATCATTCACTATGCTGTGTCGCGTCTGGCAATGGACCACTCGTCGTAGTCCCTTAACACCATGACGGCGGTTTCTGGCACGGCCTTTACTCAAAATGGATCTTGTCGAAGTCTACAATTCTCATGGGGCACATTCCGCGCGAATATGAGCAAGGCACAAAATTTGTTGAGAAAAGGCACAAGGAGCCAGTGTGTCAATCATAATACGAAGGATTCTACGGAATTGGAAGCCTTAGGAGTCTGACTACCACACCACGTTGCATAGCACACGCTTGCCTTGCCTTGCCTTGCCTTGCCATCCGTCATTCATTTATTCATTCATTCAGGAAGACAGAAAGGAAACAAGAGATTGTCAAAGATTTCAGAGAACAAACTTGTGTAATGACCCCGAGCGAAATTGTTAGCAGCATCTTCCTTGCCGCTAATCAGCTGCTCCGGATGGAAGAGGTGCTTATAAGTCCCGGTTCGGACCTCATCGACAACGGTGGGTTCAAGGTCTAAAAATACAGCACGGGGAACATGCTTCCCGGCTCCTGTTTCACTGAAAAACGTGGTGAAAGCATCGTCTCCTCTTATTCCATGGATCTTTTCGGTGGGCATGGTTCCATCGGCCTGCTCGGATCGATCCAAATGCTGGTCACAACTTCTCTGTGGTATAATTAACACAACAGCAAACTACTGGTGGACTATCACATCATGCTCAATTCTTCTGACTGACTGACTGACTAACTAATTGACTGACTGACTACTTCCATCTCTTCGAGTCGTAGTGTCGACTCAGAAAAGTGATTATTACGAGCTGCAATCAATTATCTCAGGACACATGGAAATTGCTCAGCGCGCTACTTACGTGAATTCCATGCTCGAGAGTGAACAGCTCCCAGCACGCATTTCCTATCTGTATACCCGCTTGGCCAATGTGGACTGAAATGCACTCTCTCATTCTCAATCAACTCGCCAGCCAGCCAGCCAGGCTCAGCGCTCTGGCTTTGGACACTAGACCGATTCTCTATTCATCGTCCAACCGGATCAAAGGCTCTTTGTCTCCGGGCTTCAATTCGGCCATCGTCCCATGCCAATGCCCACAACTTTCAGTAAAGACCCGCCTCTGAAACTGTCTGCGCTGGGTCCAGTGGCGGTGTGCGCGTTGGTAAACGAGCGATTCCGCTGCTGGCACAGAAATTTTCGCAGCGGCGGCTCGTCGGATCGAGTCTGACTGTTGGAGCCAAGGGGAAAGCAACCTCTAGATGTCCGGGGAGAAAAAACGCTTCGACGACGTCTCCGGGCGCCTCAAGAGAAAGACGGACTGCGCTGCGCTCGCTCGGTTCTCATTTTGCTCGATCCCGAGCCCCGACTCCTTACGTACGCACGTGGGGTGTGATCGAACGTGGGAGCACAATTCAAGTCAGCCATGGGAAAGATCGAACGAGAGTGTGAACTATGAAGAGCTTCCTCGGTTCCAGTCGAACCGCGCGAATTTTCGTTTCGTGTCTTTCCTTCTCTTCACGTTTCCCACCGCTTTCGACACGTCCGTTCGGAATAGAGTTGTCTCCATCGACTGCCACTTGCGAGGCCTTCAGCGAAGGAGTACCGCGTGCTGCGGCTCCTGCTGGAACGGAACGGTTTCCTGCCTCCTGTAGGTTCACACTTGTATCAGAATCCCAACTTCCTGTTAAGAAGTACGACTGCTGTGGAGATATGTGTTCAATTCGTGGTCCTTCTCCTGGCTGATAGCAGATGGTGACATGCATGCGTAGCACGATCATGGCCACAAGTACAGAACAACCTTTGCAGGCTGCACTCCAAATTTCGATGAAACTCGACAAATTTCTTCGTACCGTCGGCCTGATCCCGAAATGCAGCGGATTTATTTGAGTCCTTTCCAAACGTCCGTGAGAAATACACTGAATTTTAAGAAGCAATATGTTCGAGGAAATATAGTTCCCTCCAACCACGAGCTGATTGTTTTGACTGCACACTCTGATGATTCAATCACTTGCCTCTGGGGTCCGGACCAGCCAGCATCTTTGGGCAAAGATTAGCGAGAATATTACTGAGACAAAAGAGCTATGTCAGACAAATCAATTGAAATTCTTGAATCAACTGAGTTCTCACTTCGCCGAAATAGGATCTATAGTTTATTTGATTCCCTTCAAGCCATCCATCGCATAGTCTTTCTCCAGCACTTGACTACATTGAAGAACCTGCATTCTCCCGTTCACATTACCACGAAGCCTATCACTTGTGGACAAAAGAGTGTTACAGCAGCAAATATGAAGTTGAAGAGAAACTCTGTCCTGTACCAGATTATTTAGCAGTTTCTTTTCCAACAGTATAAAACTTCAAACAAATTTTTATAAATCCAGTGGATTACTTTAGGAGTTCCTTTGATTCGAAATTTTTTCCCGGTCTCAATTATATCTTGCTCTCCTACTGATGAAATTTATAGTTGATAGAATTTCTATATTAATTCTAGGTAATTCTATATTCTATATTTTTTCCCGCTCAGGTAATTCTATATTCAAATATTTTTCTGATCTAGTTTGATGATCTACGATAAAATATAATTCAACTTTATCATTTGGTGTAGTGTTTTGAGTCTCATAGATAATTCTCTACTCTTATTCTTGTTATTTAAGATTTTGCTTCATCTGTATTAGGTTTTTTAGCTTGTATCACATTTATCTTTCTTCTCAACAATATCAATGAGAGATTAGTTTTGTCAAGACAAATAGCTGTTTAGATTTATTAGTTTTAAAATTAATCAAAGAATTAATCTTGTTTATTTGAATTATGACTAAATTTGTTAACTTTGACTAGATTAAAATGTTAAATCTATACTTGGCAAAATAAATGAAGTTATCTAAGACTTATAGATGAATATCAGGATTTTTTGACTATCAAATTTTACATATCAAATGAAAAAAAAAGACTTCAACGACATGCCAATTTTGATAGATTTGATAAAGTAGTAGAATTTAGGTGGATAAGTCTAAATTTGACTTAATGTCAAACTGAGTTACAAATTTTTTTTTAAATTTCAATGACATTTCCTCACTTCAAGTAAAAAGTTTAAAAAGTTTCTAAAATATCTAGATAGGTCGATCATATATTACCATATGATATTCTTCATGGATATAATTCTACATTTGAATTAATACAAATAGAGAAAAAAATTTATATTTTTAAGGCGAATTTGGAGAAATCTATGTATGAAAGCTTGCTTCATCAATGACGAGTTTGGATTGTCAAATATTTTTGGATATTAATGAGAGTTTTTAATTGTTAGTACTAACTCATGCCTGATTTAATTCCAGTAGCTTAATTCTAGTTAGTGATTAGATTTGTTATCACTAAATAGAAAAACGAGCCAAAGTTCTCGTTGAACACTTCACGATTTTTATCAGTAAAGACTTTTCTTAGTACCCATGGACGTAGCAGGTAGTCACAAATCACTTCGTCTCGGCGTTCTGCATCGTTAGTATTAGGCAATCTAAGCAAACTTCATATCATCTGTGCATGTCAAACCCTGAAACGGCCTGGAACAAAAGTTCGGTTGGTTGGGGAGCAGCAGCAGCGGAATGGAGGAGCATGAGTAGGAGATTTTAGTCGAGGGAGCACTGTTGAATGATTGATCGATTGATTCCATCACAGTATCCTTTCCCTCTCGTTCTCGTTTGCTCTTTCTTCCTCCACCATCCCTCCTCTACTCCAGCAGCGCCATCATCACCACCGTGACCATTGATAACGACATGAGGACATTTAGTGGTCGAAAAATTGGTGTAGGCTAGCTGTGCAGGTTTCAACTGTTAGTGATCTGCCCCAATCAAAGTGCCTTGAGGTCCTGATCATATCACACGACATGCAGGCATTCGAGACTGGTTTTGTGGTCCTTGATCTACAATTCTATAAATTTACTTCACAAGCTGAGCTCGGAGCCTCAGATAGGAGAAAGAGGCTATAGATTTTGAAGTTACTACGTAAAGAGCATCACATACGAGGGGTGATGAGCAACTTCTTTTCTACCCAAAGCTGGAAGCTTCTAATAGTTGTTCTTGTCCACGACGATGAAAGTTTATTTGGTGGCTCTCAGGTTATGCCATAATTCTCTAACCATCCCCCTTCTAGCAACAACAAGTGTCAAGTAGTGGAGAACATGTTTATTGTATCCAAGAGATCCACCTCTTCAGGACCTGATTCCAATTTCCTGTGAGACAAAAGTTTATCAGAAAATCAGAGGACTAGCAAATCTAGGAACTCCAAATCTTTTCAAGTCTGCAGGTAAGAGATCAGATCGTATAGTTACCAGAGCAGGAACCAGCGTTTGGACCAGAGGAAGGTCCAGACCGTCAAAACACAGGGAAAACTGCTTGCCATTATGCATCATGCATTTGTTTCCTCATCGGTTCTCTTCGAAGTCTTACCGTTGAAATCGTTCATTCAATAGTTTCTGATAAGTTTCATCCGTCATTCCTTCCGAATCTGGGTCTACACCCAAAGTCTCCAAAACGTCATCCAAGTTGTCCTCCAGTTCCTCCTGCACAAAATCTTAGAAATTACATTATTTTGGAACTTCATGTCATAACATTCTAGTCAACATTCGTAAAGGTGCAATACTCAAAGATTTCACGTGCTAAGGCCACAGCAGCGAACGAAACTTTCATCAACCCTTCATCATGTGAAGAGAACTGGATGGATAGGTCATCCAACCTTGGTCTGAAATGTCGGGTTAAATGTAGATCTAAGTTACCACGGAAGAATAAAATGACATTGCTGCCATAATCCAAAAAAGTTGATTCTTTCTATTTCAACATGAAAGACTTGTCTACGCTCTTCGAGGTGATTGATCGCCAAGAGCGTTTAACATGATATCGTGTTATAAAGAGGTGATGCAAATGCACAGCATCGTGTAGTACACCTTGAGCTCGACAGCATTGGAAGGCTCTTCTTCACCTCCAGCCTCGGCTCCTCCAGACTCTTCAGTCTTGGGTGTTTCAGAATGTGTGAAGCTGGCCACATCCCTGAAATCAGGGGCACCTTCATCTGTGAAGTCATCACTGAATCCAATATCAGTAGTATCTAATGAACTTCTTTCCAGCCGCGATCCTTTACTGCGGGAGCCATGTTCTGAAGATCCTGAACGTTCATCCCTTCTGCTGTGCTTTCGTTTCTTCTGATCCTCGATCTTGGTGTTCAAATCTTTCAGCAACTTCCCGGCCTTGCTGCTTCTCAAAGATGTCTTGCTGCCGACCCCTTGTTCTGAATAGTCGGATTTCTCTTCTCGTCTACGTTGGTGTTGTTTCTTGTGTTTGTCAATAATGTTGTGCAGACCAATTAAAACGCCCCCAAGGTCTTCTACCTTTAAACAAACATATCAAGTATCTACAATGAGTTAGCTGAGTGCTAAAGACTAACTGGACAGGCTCGAAAGCAATTTGTTTACTCATGACAAGTTCTACATAAATGAGATCTTGTGGAAGGCGACTATGTGGAGCTAGCACGAGGATGGGCCGTTTGAAAAAGACCAAGGCTAGACTGAAAAGGAGAATTCGCCACTCACAAAGTCAACACATAAGTCATGCTTAGCAAGAGTAGCCTGTAATCCAGCGAAACCCTTCTTTATCAACTCCAGCTCTTCGAGAGCTTGTTCGTTGTCTAACTCCAACCGTCTCTTCTCTTCATGAACAATTTCCAGCTGTTCCACGAGATCTTTTTGCTGAGCTTGCACCAAATCCATCTTTTCCTCCGATATGGTGCTTTGTCTTCTATGCTCTTGCTGCATGGCACGCAGTTTTTCTTGAGCCTCTTGCAGGTCTTGTATCGACTGCTTCCTGAAGTGTTTTTCTTCCTCATCCTTTTTATTTGCGTGCTCATGCAGAGACCGAAAGCGTTCCTGTGCCTCTTGCAGCTCCTTCTCTGCTTTTTCCCTAAGCGCTTTCTCTTCATCAGCTTTTTTCTCCACTTGTTCCAAAATTTTCTTCGATTCTTTCAGCTCTTGATGCGCCTGCTGCAAGTCCATCAAGGAGTCTTTGCGAAGGTTTCTCTCTTTCTCGATTTGGATACCCATTTCTGATTGCAGAGATTCCAATTGTTCCTGTGCTTCGTACAAATCTTGCACTGACTTTCTTCTGTAAGCTTTGTCTTCTTCAGATTTTTCATCCAACTGTGCCCGCAACGCCCGCAGCTGTTCCTGTGCGTCTTGCAAGTCCTGTGCCGACTTCCTTCGTAGTTTTTTCTCCTCTTCAACTTTTTCGTCCAACTGTGCCTGGGCTGATCGCAGCTCTTCTTGCAATTTTTGCAGATCCTGTGCCGACTTTTTTCTGTATTGCATTTCTTCCGAGCTTCTTGTTTCCAGCTGAGCCAATACTTCATTCAACTTTTCTTTACTCTTGGACAGCTCAGTCTTTACCTCGTCCAAATGAATCTTGTCTTTCTCAGCTTCTTTCTTCATGTTTTCTTCGAGGACGTTGTACTTTTTGTGAGATTCCTGCAGGTCCACATGTGCTCGTTCGAGGTCTTTTTGCAGATTGTGTGCTTTCTCCTCATTCTGGGCTAAAGACTGCCTATGGTGTTGCAAATTCTTCTCCATGTCAGCGACAGTTTGGTCCATAAGATTTAGACTTTCTCGGTGTTGCTGCACGTCCTCCTCAAGTTTGAAGGTTGCCAGCTCCTTGGAGCTAAGACATTGTCGAAGCTGCTGCAGCTCCTTTTCCAATTCACTTACGATCAGTTCCCTGGACTTCAAATTCTTTTGGAACTCCTCCACCTCCTTTTTCAGCAATTGAGAACTAGCCTGCTCTTGGAGAACGACTGTCCCCATGTCTGCGAGTTTTTGCTCCTTGGTGATCAAATTACGTTCCTTTGCCTCGCTCTCTTCCTTCCAATGTCGAGTTAGCTCTTTCTGTTGATCAAGTTCGGATTTGAGTTTCTCTACCTGGCTACTTAGAGTATGACACTGCTCTTGGAATGCAGTCAGTGAAGCATACTCCATCCGCAGTGCTTCGAGTTCTTTAGTGGTTAAGTGGAGCTGGTTCGTTATTTTCGCCAGCTCCTTTTGACCATCGTGTATTATATCGCTCTGCTCCTTCAAAAGGTTATTTGGGCCCTGGTCCGGGCGTTGTTCTTGGACATTGTGGAGCTCCGTTAACAGATGGGCTTCCCGATCTTGCATCTCAAACATCTTCATTTGGAGTTCATCCTCATGCCTTTCATGACTCTGTTCCAGTAAAGACAGTCGCTTCTGACTTTCTTCTAAAGTACTTCGGAGTTCAGTTACTAGCTTCTGCGCTGACTCTAATCTCAAGTGCTCCTGTCCTGGGTTGAATTTACATACGTTTGATGACTCCGGCGGTTGATTCTCTAAGTCATGATCATTGTTCCGATGCGAAAGTTCCAAATGTCGTTTCATATGCGCCATCTCTTTCCGCAGATAATCACATTCAGCCTGTAAATCTTCAAATCCCTGTCCAACATAGTAGATTGTCGGGGTAGAAGCCAAATCAATCATCCAGTTTTAAGAGTATAAACAAATTCATTCGTTACTACACAACCGCTCCTCCAGTTCCTATGTAAACTCCAACACTTTTCAACAGGTGCATAGAGCTTCACAAACTGTGAATGGATATCAGAACAGATCGTATCTCCTCTTCGAAAGATTATGTTCTTGCCTAGCATGGATTAAACCTTGAACCTGAGACTTGTCGGGGTCTTCTTGACTGTCTAGTGAATCGACGGCCGGTTCAAGCTCTTGCTGGCCTTGCTCCTGGACCTCACGAAGCTTTTCTTGCGTATCATGTAATTGCTTTCGGAGCTGAGACTCTAACATCTCGCTCTCCCTTTTCTTTCCCGCAGCAGCAGCCTGCATTTTGTCTCTGCCCCCGTACAAGACATGAGCTCAAAAAATTCCGAAAATCATTTAGTTCAAGCCTTAAGACTATGGAAAAGTGGTACTATTGCTTCTTGAAAAAATAAGATGATGAAGCACCCAACCGGGCACCATTTCTAACGATCCATCATATGTTCCCAGCTCTCTCATACTATGATTACGAATAAAATGGCTTGCTTCGGTTGACTCACGGAAATTCTTTTCTCTTCTCTGGAGGTTGGAAAAAGGAATGTGGTGAACGAAGGAACATCTAGGATTTGATCAGAAGATGCCCTACAAGAGAAAACCAAATTATACCTCAGATATCCGGTAAGTTTAAATATCATTTATAACTCACACGTAAAAGGGACATTTCTTGTCCCAAGACTTCACCTGCAGTCATTGCTTACACTACGAAGCAATATAACCGACAGAGTGTAAAGGTGGATTTCTCAAACCGAGGACATCCGTGTGATTGATACTTCTGAGACTGAAAGTCTGTCAGTTCTGTTAAGACAGATGAGGGCCCTTACAAGTTGATTGCCGGGATTCACCAGGTGTTCAAAGGTTTTAACGAGTAAGGACCACAATAGAGGTACAGAAAACTCGTAAGCTGAAGTTTATCAATGAACTCTAATTCCGTAGACCTATTACTCTGAGCGACGTACTGGAAAGAAGGAACCTGTCTCTGTTGATTGTCATCTGGCGACTGGTGTTTTGCCATTGATTGCTCCTCCGTCAACACTCCCTTTGTCTGTAGAAGCATTCCTACTCCACATTCGGATCCACATGAATACAAAATCTTGTCTATAGATAAGATTTATGTGAGGTACTGAATGAACAATGTATGTCACACATCGCAATGAAATATAGAAAATTGCATAATTTGACCCTCATGATATGCGGTTGCTAGCTTCATATTGGGAATTTCACCCACCATGATATGTCTCAACAACATGCAATCATGAGAAGAGCGACCATACGTGTCGAGGTTGACTGTTCGAAAAAGAGGATTCGAAGTTCCGTGTCAATCCTTAAATATAATATGACCGTGAAGGTGCAAATCGAAGATACTGGAATACTCACGTTCTTCTCAGACTCGGCCAAAGTTCTCCTTATAGACTCAATGGACTGTAAAATGCCAGCCTCTTGCTTTAAAAGTGCTTCCTTGACAAGCTCTAGTTCTCGATCCCGCTTCTTGAAATTGAGAGAAGGTAGCTATTCCCATCCATTCAACAGTGGATCCTGCTTGACCATCACATCTTTCAAAAGCCACAAAATAGACACCACAAGGGAACCTGCGTGGACTTGGTGCTGTAATTCTTTACAAAGTTGTCAACGAATAGGACCTTAAATCGATTTAGAAAACTGCGTTGATCTCTCACTTACGTGCCGGTCACTAAACTAGGGGGAACCTCTCTAGCGACTAGATAATGAAACGCCTCACACGTCTTATGCCACAGACCTGAGCAGAAGGCGGATTTTCCCTTGTTGCACAAATGGAGCAGTCCTCTGGCAAGTATGGCACTGATAATTGCAATTTCGGTGTCAGCAATTCACGGGTTGGAGATCATACATGAAAAGAACGTTATCCAATTTTGAGGTTTGACATCAACGTCTAAAACTAGGTTCTGGATCTCAGATTGGGTCTAGAATATCAAGTTTCATCGGGTTCCTAGGCAGGCCTTTGCCATTCTCTAATAAAACGAACTACACAAAACAACTTCAAAGTCGGAAAACTGAAATCACTGAGGAAAGGATTATCTGAAATGACCATGAAGGAAATCAAGAGTTAAAATCAGGCAAAAAAAACTGTCCAGGAGGAGCAACGAGTCTTTATGATGAGACTGCGAGTGGTGGTTTACATTCTGACATTCGCCTGTATGAACGTAATGCTTCCAACGTTTCTTTACTTCGTGCCCTTGCAATCATCGACAGGTGTGTCTGCGGGAGCTGATATGAGTAGTTGGAGGCCACACCTAGATTTCATGTACATCACAGATCAAGACATAGAAGGGAGAAAATCTTCTTCCAAATTGACAGACCGTTTTACAGCAACAAAGATAAAGAGAAACGTGCTCACTGTCGTCAACATCGTTCGACGTAAGCCTGTTCCCCAACGCCTTATAATATATCTGTGCTATAGTTTTAAGGAATCGCTGTATCTGAGAAATAGTTTTAAGATATAAAGAGGACACAAAATCATACGACTGTAGAAGACCTGTCAGAAGGTAAGGTACCCCTGAACTCTTCGGGTGGTGGTGCATAATTGTAGGATTTGCGAACAATTCTAAGAGATAGTGTTTAGTTTCAGGTCGGCCCTCACCCTCATTTACTGTAGATGTATGATTTTGGACGGAGTTGGGGTCCACCCTTTTGGTCTTTTGTTTGGACCTGAAGAATCACACAAAAAAGTCCGGAAGCCCACCGCATCACTCACACAAAGGCAATGTACATGTCGGCCACTGAGCTAGCTTGCTAACTAGCCAGCCAACGAGGCAAGCATAGTTTTGGGCAAACTTCTCCCTGCTTTGCCTAGCTAAAACAATGGAGGTATCAACTCAACAATGGCACCCAAAAGAAGAAAATTGGAGGTTCTGAATGATTCAACTAAAGTTGTCTGAGAAACGGGAACATCGTTAACGCGTAAGAACATCGGTTGATCGAACAAGTGAACAACGACAGGTATTGAAGATATGACACAATGGAGGTGCAGGAGTGAAGAGCATTGACAGATGGAGCACAGTAGAAGGGAAGCTGAGAGCCTTACCGACGGGTGGGGCGCCTGCGACTAGGAGAGGTCCTGCCCTGACCATCTAGTTCGGACGAGAAGGAAGCATTGGGATTCCTGGGAGATGGTGCCCAATCGGAGCTTTCCGTCTCAGAGACACCAATTCCTCTTCCTCCTTTTGGTCGCAAGCCATCCATGGATTCAGCCGGGGCCGTGGACAGCAACAAGCGGTCTCGGCCGCCGGAGGTGGAAGATGACCACGCTTTCCTGCCCTCCACCATCCCAGCGGGGGCGATGACTCGTAGTGCCTTCTTGACACTCACGCTTCTAATGACCTGCACTTTATCAGCATGGCAACTCTCATCGTGACCACGCCCGTCTCCTCTGTTGCAAGCCCAGCAGTCCTTGTGCTCGTGCCCTGAGATATCACAGTGTCGAACTTCCACCTCCTTCCCTGCGGTCCTCGAGACAGTCTCGGACGGAACAAACTGATGATGGTGCCGGTCTTCGGCTTTCTTGGTCGCCTGACCCACTGGTATGAATTGTTCAGACATTGCTTCAGTAGCTCCGCTTGCGCTTGCGCTGCCCACGTCCTCGTCTCCGTCCATGTATCGTCGAGGAGTTCCCACCTTGCGGGACCTCAATTTCGGCCCAGCGCCAGAAGATGACGCAGACCCTACATGATCCTTTTCATCGCTGCCGCGATAATTCCTCACAGCAATCCCTCCACCTCCTCCTCCTGCCCGCTTATCTTTTCTGACATCACTGCTTACATCGACCTCGTCCGGCTCTTCTGCCATGGATTCTCTTACATTCGGTCGCACGCCGAATTCCCAATACTTCCCCTACGATCTCCCACAAGCAGGGCTCGATCTGCAGGAATTCCGATTTCCTTCTTCTGAACAGCCAGCCGCAAGGTGACTCAAGCGATCACGACCAGCAGCAGCAGAGGAGGCAACAACAGCATCGAAAACATCGAGCCCAGCCATCGAGAGCCCAAAATTAGTCCAATTTCGGATGACCCTGGCATTCCTCCTCTCGACGTGCCACGAACAAACGCTGCAATGCGATTCAAATTCAAATTCCATGCTCTGCTCTGCTCTGCTTCTTCTCCAGATTCCATCCATTCTCCTGCTCCTGCTCCTGCTCCGGAGGCCCTCGTCCCGTTCCTCTCCCGGCTCTCCACGTGTCGTCTTGCGCCTTTGTCAAAGTCAGCCCTCGCGGGCCCTGGCAGGTCCCGCCGGGAGGAGCGGAGGGGAGGAAGGAGGGAGGGGAAGCAGTGCCAGTTCGGGCCACGGAGGGGCCGCGGAGAGGAGAGAGTCGATGCAGAAAGGGCAACGCGAGGAGTCTTTGGAATCTTTCGGGAAGTGGGGTCGATCGCTAGATCACATGTTCCGGTGAAGTGGAGAAAGAAGTAACTGCGGTCGATTGCTCGTTCTCACGGTGATCGAGGAAGGAAGAAGTTGTGCACGTTTTGTCGTTTTTGAGGTGAGGTGCTGAATTGGACGGACGCTGATGCAATGCTTTGTTTGTGGTCTTGTCCATTCCATTTGTTGCGCGCGACGACGCGTGGGTAGCTGGTTTTGGGTTTATCTTCTTGAGCATGTTGTAGGGAAGGACAGAGCAGAGAAGTGGCCGAATCGAATTCGTGTTCTCTGTCACTGCTGATGATCTGACATTGTACGAAATCTTCACGAGATGAATGCTCTGTTCGGCTTCATCGTAGGGTGTTTCCGACTGATTCGGAGGAATAGGCTTTGATTGATCTTCTGTAAATTTGACATTTTCTTTGTTGAGATGAGTTGTGCGAGTGGTTTGAGGAGTTGAGATTTGGAGTGATGGCGCGAAAGGGGATTCTTTTGAGGTGGAGATGAGCCATTTTTCTTTCATAGCACAAGTGACAACACTGGATCGGAGGTGACTTGTTCACGGTCATATTCTTATACGGCGGTTGGGGCCTGTTGGTGGGCGGGCGTTGTTTTTGTGCAGGCTATAGGAGCGAGTGAGGGCACGAATTCGAGCTTTCATCAACAACCAGGGCGTATATCACTTCGATTACGAGGTCATCAGCATGTTGTCAGCTTGCAGGGCTGCGGCTGCTACCCTAAGGCTCTCGCGTGCCCCTATTTCTCATCCAGGTAACAACTTTCTTTTACGTTCTCATTTCACTTGGAAGCTTGGAAGCACAATCCCTTCGAATGAGCGAATTTTCAGGAATCTCAACACATAGAGACCATCAACAAAAAGCCTCGAGCAAGAGAATTATTGATTTTGTTGGTGGTTTATATGGAAGCAGGCGCAGGAGCAGCATGGACACAATTAGGGCAACGAGCTGGCATGAAAACTGCAGGCGACGATACAGACACACATGATGATTTTAAGCCCGTTGTGAAAGCAGAGAATGCGACTCTGTCCGTTCAAGAACACATAGAGAGGGTAGGGTGCTGGTGAATTATAAGCTTCCCCTCTTCTGATCAGCTTATGCCCTTCATCTCAGGGATACGAAAGCACAGCCCTTTATGGTATTTTCGTCTCTTTGATTCTCTTTTAGGGTTTTGCAGGACATCAAGGACAACCGGGTAATGGTATACATGAAGGGTGTCCCTGAAGCCCCTCAGTGCGGATTTAGTGCGATGGTTGTTCGTATTCTACAAGAGTATGGTGAGTAGCCAGTTACAAAAACTCGTAGAAGTTTTCGTAGTTCCATTATGCATAAAGTTTTTAGTCGACGAAATATGTTACCAGTGAAGCTTATTCATGTCGTTGTTGTACACATTGTACACATTTCTCACTTTTCCTCAAAGTTAAATGGTTCATACTATTCTGCTTCTCATCATGAAAACCGAAGAATGATTTTTTCCTGGATCTAGTTCCTTCCAGCGAAGTTGTTTGTTTGCTTTTTTTTCATGAGTGTATACTGTCTACAGTGTTCACATTCTACGTTGTAGATGCTTTGCCATTTATACTTCCTTCTTACTATTTTTGTTTTCTATGTTATTATTTTTACATCATCAGGAATGTACGCGATGTGATCTTCGTTTTTTCGCACGTTCTGTAAACTTTGTGGCTTCGTGCAGTTGAAAGACATTTGGTTCTAACTGCCCTTGTTGTTTCTTGTGATGTCTACTTCAGGAGTGTCGTACAATTCTAGAAACGTCTTGGCAGATCCTCAACTTCGAGATGGCATCAAGCAGTTCAGGTAAACGTGCTTTTTGTAGGCAGTATCTAATACTCTCGTTCTAGTTAGTCAATTGTGTTGGCCAGACTAACTGTTTCTCTTATAACACTGGGCTGAAATGTCTTTTTAGTTGGTCTTGTGACGTTGTCATGATGTGCAATAAGGATGTATTTCTCAGAGGCTCTTTCTTGACGGAAGTTGTGAGGACAGAGCTTACTTTGCCTATCGGCTAGGCAACGAAAAGAATTGTTTGATTTAGTTTACTTATAGATGGCTGAGCAAAAGCTAGCAAGTCTGAATCACATGGGCATTTTACTAAACAAATTTTGCATCTATAAACTACATGTTGTGGGTTTCTTTCGTCAAGGTTTCATCATGCAGTCAAGGTTGTGAAAGTTGGACATTCGCTTCTTTCACTCCATAGTCTACAATAGCCATCCCTTTGACAAAACAGAGTGATTGTCTTGTAGTCGGTGGCCGACCATTCCCCAAGTTTTCATCAATGGAGAATTTGTTGGAGGTTCTGATATCCTCATCAGTATGCATCGGGTAAGCTCAGGAGCACACTTTATTCCCTTCAGTTTTTGTAGTGTTTCTTGTCACATCGTTTGACTCTACTCTCATGAGTACGTGCCTCATGCCACATCAAAGTTTGGCAGCTGAAATGCTTGTCCCTGACTGCTGCTTTCGGAATCTGCTAATGCAGTCTGGGGAGCTGGAAAGTTTATTGAAAGAGACTAGCGCTAAGGATACCAAGGAAACTTGAGTGCTCAAAGTAGGCAGGCTGAGACACTGGATCTAGTGGAACTGTTCGGAGAGGTCGCTGCTTATTCAAGTGACAGGTTCGCTCTAATCCAAAAAGTGCGAATGGAGATCGATCTATTACATATGGTTTGCCGTCTTGTGTACGAAGCAGTAGACGGACCTGTTGTGTCCAGCCGACTCTGCCTGATGTCGATCTAGCTTCCCTACATCAGCAGAGAGGTGATGTATTGTGGCTCTATTTTCGTCGGCATTGAGATTCTAGAGAAAATATAGAAACTTGGGACGACAAAGTAATGTGACCAGTTCGTCATTTTTGTAGGCGGTGAGGCCAGCGGGATCTGGTCTATTTAAGTGTACATTGTGTAAAATATACCGCCGTAATTCCCTCATCTCTAAGTTTCGTATGACGAGCTTGAATTTTCTGGCTGTTTGGTCGTGGACTCTTAGTAATATCAAAATAAGTTGCATCATCTGCCTCGTCATAGGCCATTCATTCCTATCAGGCGTTTTGTTGCGTAGAAATGTCTTGCCTTCTAGTCAAAACGAGGAACCAACAAGAGGTCTTGTCTTGGCATCCGCTGCCTTCGTGGCTCCTCAAGTACATCTAATCGTCGATCACCTGACTCGTTTAGGATTCCAGAAGATGCCCCGTTTCTAGATAATACACATCAGATACTCTGAAGCAGTACCACGATGATAATAGCCCAAGTAGTATAGTCATTCGTAGGATTTTGTACCTGGCCTTTCTGCCTGTGTCAGAAGGACTGACCTCTGCTATGTCGCTGAGATGTTTGTTGGCTGTAAGGTACAAAATCGATCATTGTGTAGGGTTGTAGTTCTAAAGCACGAGGTAGGTTCAGGAAAAGTTGTAGCGGGTGGAAGAATTCAGGCGGGAGATGAATCTTCTTTGATCCGTTCTCCTTTCTAGTTTCAAGATGTTCACTAGACTAGCATAGTCAACGCGAGACTGCAGCGTGTGGAATACCTCGTTGGTAGGCGCTACTCCTTCCAGATCTGAACCAGCCCACATACTGAATGAAACTCCATGTGTCTCTTAGTACGAACTTGATTTTGATTCGAACTGGGTTTTACTTACACTATACCCAGTTCAACGTACATTTTTCGTTGAGCTGAGAGAAGGTCGAACTCTCTTTAAATATGGGGTTCAGACTTGAAGATTGGGATCACTCTACATCTAAATATGCGAAGCTCCTCCTTATGTTGTTGCTCGAGGGCAGCAGAAACCTGGACCCCGTCGTGAGTACCTTTCCCTACCGTGTGGCTGCCCCGTTTGCATGTCTGACCCTCTGTCATCCTCACTCACAATCAAGAAGTTTAGACCCCCTGCCTGACAGTAGTTTCAAGTCGAAGAAGTTGAGACCGGTCAATGGAGAGGTAGGAACGGAAAAGCAGGTGCCTAAGATTATCACTAGGTCTATCTGGTCACAAGGGTGTGTAATCATGGTACGAGGAGATGGGATGGGGTTGCCCATTGTGGCAACTCGTTCGCAGAAACTTCACTGCTCGTTTTCTGCATTTTCACTTGACTTCATTGAGGAGGATGGGATGATGAGAGCCTAAGTCGTGGTCCAGCGCAGACTACTAGTAAAGCATTCATGTGATGAGGACAGAGCTACTACCCATGATTACTACTTTCAGGAGATGGTAACTTTCTGCATTGTCTCCGAGGTTTGGACTCTAGAGCCATGCGCACACTGCCTTCAACTATAAACGCGTGAGAGTGAGCCAGGAATCGTTGGTGCCTGTTGCATGCGTCGGTGTAGAATGCAGAAAGCCCGACAGCGGTTGGCCGAGGCATTTCCCTCGAGTGCTGTCTTCTGTGGATGATCCTTAGGTTTCATCTATGGCAAAACGTGTGCAGTGCAATGTGTAGACCTGCGGTAAAACTTTTGAAGAACGCACGGTAACCCTTGCGCTACGATATGATGGGTCGTGTGGAGCTATTGGGAGAAGTGGGGTCTATATCATCTGCATCCCGTAAAAGTCAGTCATTCGATCGTAAGCACATGTGCTTGATCTGTTACACTCAATCCAATCCACTCAAATAAACAAGCTGCATCAAACAACCAAAAATATGTTTGGTGAATCGTCGAAAAAATTTAACTACGTGCACATTGACTGTCAAGGCAAAGCCAGTAATGACAAATCATATATGCGCGCATTATTCACTCACGTGGCAAAAGTAGGTCGACAATTGCTTCCATTCTCTCGTCAGAAGATTGCATTCCAACGTCTCGATGTCAACCTCAATTTGAATTCCTATCGAGAACACCTCCGAAGCTGAGCAATGTCATGGGTGCCTCGAGGATCTCGCTTGCGGGATTTTCCTACGAGCACCACCTTGCCTCACCTCTCTTCACGCCAATTTATATGCGAGATCACGGCGCATCAACGCGCCCTACATTCTCCAGTAGGACAGCCCGGGCCAGTCAGCATAATGTAGCATTACTGCTTGTGCATCATCATAATCATCATCATCTACCAGCAGTTCCCTCGCGTTTGCGTGGCCGTTGTGGAAACTGCATGCCGTTTGTGATTCGGCTCCTTTGTTAGACACTAACATCTTTTACTTTTTGATCGATCGATGAAAGAGACATGCCCCACGGAGTCTAAATGTCTAGTCCCACTTCAATGCTATGTACTTATTTCTCCGGTCGAGTCAATGACAGTCACAAGCTGGTGGCTGACCTTGCAATACGACTTTGCAAGTGAGAGGGGGTGAAACGGGCATACACAGTGTGCAGTGACATTGAGAGGAGCAGGAGGCCGGCAGAGGGGGAAAGGGGTCGGAATGGAGTGGAGTGGCGTGGACAGAACTCCTCACAGGGTGTTGTCTGTGAGACCGAAAGTTTAATCTGGTGGTCTGGTAGAATCTTGAAGGAAAGCTCGCGTATGAGAACTGATTGATTGATAGATAGATAGATTGATAGATCGATAGATCTCCGACTGGGACAGTTCGATGAAGCCCTGCCGTTTGAAAGCCAGCTTCTGCTGGTGGATCTAGGTAGGCAGATAGAAGCTCAAAGCTCGTCTATCAAAACTGATAGACTTTCAGAACCGAAGCAGTTTATGTCTAGGACGTTTTTCAAGCACCTAAAGCTGGAAGCATAAAGCACCATCATCTCCCTTAGGACACTCAATAGTCCAGATGTTGAAACGAGGTGGCGGGCTGCTCAGAGCGCCAAGCACATATATCGAAACTGATCGACCTCCCGTGAACGAGCAGAGCAGGGGAAAGAATTGTCTGCCTGTTTCTCTGTGTAACGGTCACTCACGATATATGCAGGGAGGAAGCTGAAAGCATATCTTTTAATCCCTGAGTCGATAGAAAGACTCGGCCAAACATTTCAATGAATGATGAGATTCAACGAGCAAAAGGTAAAAGCCCATCTCCAAACATACTCGTCCACTGATCCACTCATCCGTGAGTACACTTTTATGATCGGAGAGACTTCGTGATCGTTGTCTTGTACATAGGCTAAAAAGGTAAGTCTACATCTGGCTATCTCAGGTAGCTTGGCATGACTTCGCTCGCAATGCCTCGAACTATGCAATTATGAATGAATGTTGTACCTCGGTTCCCATTTATGTCGGAGAAACCCTTCGTCTACCTTGAATGATTCCTCTAGCTTGTTTGAAAAAAACGAGAGCCTAAAATCACAACGGGAAAACTGATCCTACAAAACGTTCCAAAGAATCGATGATAGACTCCGATGAGTTTGTAAAATCTTAAAAGATTGGCCTGATGTTGTGCTGACAGGAGGCACTGAATCTGGAATCGATTCAAATGTCTTTTTCAGTGAGCTATAAGTTCTGTAGTGTAAATAGTGCTGCAGTGCATTTTGTCTGCAATTTTAATGCGAAGCAGAATCTTCCACGGGACTATGGCTTTTGAACACCTACTGTGAGGCAATCCTTCTGCTTACATCTTGTCCAGAACTGTAAGTTGGCCAACGGAAGTCTCCTGGAGATTCTCTTATAACTTTATGTGTTCGATCACCTACCATAGACAGTTGTTGGCTTTGCTGGTGGAAGTAGTAGTAGTACTTCTGAGTATAATTTGCGATAATAACTGTGAAGGGCCTTCTTCTTGACTTCATATCCCTCTGCATCTACCTCGTCTTGTCTCTCTGCATGCAGCACATTGAGCTGCATGCTCTTTTCTAAAGTGGAAGCATATTTCCCTCGATCAGACTGGTTTTGGTGGTCTTATTGAATGAACTGTACAACTGGATAACGATGCTCCTGGATCTGCTTCGAAGCACTACGCTAGTGACTAGTCTAGGCTCAGAATCCATCTCTTCTCCTTCCTTCATCATCTTCTTCCTTTTATCTTTCCTCCACATCGAGCAACTTCAAGAATCGTCCGATCCTGATCTTCAGGTTGATCAACCCTCATCATCATCTCCTGCAACAGGACTTCAACTGAGCTGCTTTGAGAGGAGAGGAGAGGAGAGAACAGAACACCAAGACCAGAGATATTCTTCACCATTGCTCAATTACTCTTCTCGAGGTCCAGATCTCAAACCTGGACAATTCACTCCCGATTCAAGCTACTCAGCTCTGACACCTCTCTCTATTATGTCCCCCTTTCTCTCCATCCACAACACTGTATAGGATTCATCAGACAACCACTCCATTTCTTTCTCTTTCGTGCGACAGACCATGGCTCTCCAATCCTTGAAGGTTCTTCAGGTAGGTGATCTGAAATTCTCACTAGGCAGGCAGGCCATTCCAGGCGAGGCAATGTGAGACTAATGGCTGTGGTTGATCTCACAATTACCTTGTCAAAGGCTAACGAAAATCACAAGGGCATATCCTCATCTCTACAAACTAACTTCCAACACAAACTTAACTGTGTGGCAATCTATATACCCTGTACCAGAGAAATGTTGCAGAACCAGAGAAAACATGAACAGTAGTACCTCCCTTGAAAGCTGAGATGGAAAAGGAGAGACCAACAACCATCCCAGAGACCAATGGAAGGTTGAGATCGGTACAATGAATGGTACAAACTACATCACACGTTCCTTGACTGACTTACTGACCGAATGAATGACTGCCTGCTACCTGCTATGTATGATCCAGATGGTGTTCATCCAAACCGAAGCTCAAATTGGCAAAGAACTCGAGTGTGTGAGCGGCGACTTCCTCCTATGTTCACGTTCTCGGAATTGGTGATCACATTCATTAGTTTCTCATTTGCTTTCCTGAGGTCAGGAAAGTAACAACATCATGAAGAAGCACTTTTCAGGAGTGGTATGGGACAGAGAGGAGGAGGGAGCAGAAAGTGCTTTTCTCAACAGTGCAACCACTCCAAGTGCAAAATGCACATAGCAAATTGCAATTTTCGCTCACTCTCATT